CCCCCCCCCCCCCCCCCATGCAATTGATGGGCAATTGTCAGAAAGGCCCAGCTGGCTTGGGCTGAGTACAAAAAGTACCTCTCATGGCACACAGAAATATCAGGTCAAACAGATGGATGACCCGACTTCCTAAATAGAAGGAGTTTTATTCCTCTTATAACCCAGTGGCCTGATTCCCTTACTCTCCCCTCTAATTGTCATCAAGTCCCAATCCTCTGGCCAGGGGATGGAGAAAGACAGGTCCTGCTGTACAGAGTTGCCATCAGCATTGAAGACAAAGCCAAAGTTGTGCCCTGACTTCACTCTGCCCCACTGGAGGGGCTAGAGCACAGAAGTCTGCAGTAGGGAGCCACGGTGAGGTCCTTGCCAGGAGTATCTGCTTCCCAGCTTAAGAAGTAGCCCAGTCCTGTCAGCAGCCTGGTCACTCAGAGGATGGCATTCTGGTGGTCCCATTACTGGAGGTATGATCCTCTCCAACTAATCTTCTGGGAAATCCAGTGTTTGTCTGAGAAGCAAATACTGTGGAAAAGAAGAGGCAATGGAGCTTTCAGGGTGAAGCCAAAGGCTCCCCTGGGGGCTTTACCCTTCCTCCTCAGCTCAAAAGTTAAAAAAGAGGATGTAAAAACTGGGAAAGGTCATGAGAGGCTGAGAATGGCCTGGGTGCATTTGTACGGGAGGGAAACCGAGGAAAGCTGACAGGAGGCAGTGGAAGACCAGGGCCTTACTTTCTTTCGACTGACAATGGCCTGCTGTAGCCATAGCATTTCCATGGCCAGATGTCTTCGAAGTCTCTGGAGCTGGGCAGGTTGGGAGGGCAGTGTGAGCTCCAGAACCTCTGTGTATATGGAGACATTGAAATATGTGTCAGAGAATGCCTCTAAACTGGCCAGAAATACCTGTCCCCTCTAAAAATGCCCCCTGCTCCCTTTTAGCTCTAGCCTGGAATTAGGGATCTTGGGTTCATTAGGGAGAAGAGCCTTGGACCCAGGACCTACCTGGGTCCCTTGTCAATGCCTTGTCACCAGCCTCCATCCTGAGGCCATGCTGAGGGCCAGGACCAGCTCCCTGGTCAGGCCCTTTCACGGGGGACGGTTCCTTCCAGCCTCCATCTCTCTTGGGCTCTTTACTCCGGAGTCTGCTGCGGGGCTCCGGACCTGGGCCCAGGCTGCTGCCTCCTCCTTCCCTGGGGCCGTAGGTTCTTCTCTATCAGCAATCAGGACAGAGCCAGGGGTACTTCCCCAACCACTCCCTCCCTTCCGGCCCCCTGGAGGGAGGAGGAAGGCGAGGATGCGGCTCGGCGGAGAGAAGGGAGGGCCCGTGACAGGATGTCGGGGCTGAGCAGCCGCCCTCCCCGCAAAAAGCCGGGCTCAGCCCTCGGGAGGTCCTACCCACTTACCCGCGTCTCTGGGGAGAAAACGGGCCTCGGAAGCCAGCGTCCCACCCAGCGCAGCTGCCCGCTCAGGTCGCCCTCCACCTGCCGCACCACCTCCTCGTACTCGGCTCTCAAGCTCTGCAGCCGCCGCCGGGTCTGACGGCCCCTCACACACGCCTGGGGGACGGGTGGACGTGGTCACGCCTGGCGGAGTGGGGGAGGGGGGAATCCCGGGGGAGGGCACGGGGGCGAGCAGGGAGTCCTGGGCGGCGAGGGGCCATCCCGGAAGGATGGCGGCCTGGTTCCCACCTGCAGCTTCGTCACGCGCCGAACCAGCTCCTGGAGCTCCATGTCCCGGCCTGAGGCTCAACGGTCCGGTCCTTTCCCGGCTCCATCAAATCCTCGTCATCGCCAGGCCCACGTCTCCATGGAGACGGAAACGTGCCCGCCCGCCCGTCTCCATGAAAATGCGTCACTGCCGCCCCTAGTAAACGAGACCGCCCCGCCCCCATCTCGGTGTCAACCCCCTCTCTTTCCCCTCCCTCTTCAGGGGCGAAGGCCCGGATCTCAGGCTGCGGACTGGCGGAGAAGAACTTCACGTACAGTGGGAGGAGCCAATGAAGACACAGAAACCAAGTGCGCGTCCGTCCATCCTTAGGTTTAATTCAGCTGCCTGCGGCCAGGCCTGAGCAGCTCCAGTGGGGCCAGAGGGAATCACAGCCTGGGTCAGAGGTCAAGGTCGCGTGAAGTCGGAGGGCACAGTCTGGTCAGAGCTTGGGGTCATGTGAGGTCAGAGGACCTGGGGGTCACAGCCTGCGTCAGAACTCAGAGTCGTGTGCGGTCAGAGGGCCTCGAGTCCCAAGAAAGGGTCATATGTCTGGGTCTTTGGGGTCAGAAGGCCCAGGGTCACACAGTTCCAAGGGCTGTGGCCAGGTCCCAGTCAAGGTCACAGAGTCAGGTCATGAAGGGGCCTGGGCTCCTTTCTCATCCCCTCAGATCTGAGAGAGGCCAGCTGCTCACCCAGCCATCGTGGTGAAACTGAGGCTGAGAGCAAGTTTGAAAGGGTCCCAGGCAAGGGCCTCCCCTCAGGCCGTGGGTGCCTCCTCAGGCTCTGCGTTCTCTGCCAGGTGCAGCTTCTGTCTGCAGGCAGGAGGAGTTAAGGGAAATTGGTGGCATGGCCTGGGCCTGGGCTCCAGCCCCTCCTGGGGAGTCCACAGGCCCCCTCTCCAGAGCCCTCTTCCTTCAAAGTGCTAAGGACTCCAGCTAAGACATGCTTCATCTAGCAAGCCTGGCCTGAATAAGACTGCTCAGGCCAAAGCGACTAAAGGGCACCTTGTTCATCTCTCCCCATAGACGGCTTTTGCTTTGTGACCTTGAGAAAATCCCTTCCCCTCTCTGGGCCTCTACTTCATTATCTGATAAATGAGAGTTGAGCTAGATGTTCCCTTTCAGGTCTGACATGGTTGTGATGATTTCATTCATTTCCTGTAAGCTAAAAGATTTACCAAATGCTCTCCGAGGCAGGTATTATCCTCATGCTGCAGCTAGACAGTTGGAGGCACTGGCAGTATTTGAACCAAAGTGTCACTTAAATCAAAGTGAAATACTCTTTCCCCAATTCCGTGCTGCTTCTGATCCGAGTTAATTGTCTGAAGTCCTTGAAAATCAGCCTTATAACCAGGTTAAATCTTAACCCCTCCAATCTCACCCACTATATTTGGCTGCTTAGCAAATCCTTTTTTTAGGAAGGGAGAGCCCACATCCGTGGGCAGGTGGAGTCAGAGGAGCTGGGTTAGAATCCTGTTTTTGTCACTGTGTGACCTTGGGCGCTGTAAGATCCCTCAGGCTCTAAATCCTGTGGTCCAGTTCAGTCCCTACTAGCTTAATAATCACCTCAGGGTGGCAGGGAAGATCCTAACAAAGCCACTCACCCCCTCCAAAGGATACATAGAGTTGCTGAGGTCTTCAAGCTGCAAGGGGAGAGAGGAGTCAGAAAGGTAGGCCTGAGCCCTGGCTAATGGAGACACTCCTGGCTGGTCCCGGGTTGAGGGAAGCTGGTGCCCACATCTCCAGGATCCTGGGGCAGGCCCCAGCCCCACAAGGGTACCCACTGGCTCAGAGGGATCATGGGATTCCCGTTCCCAGCTTCCCCACAGTCCCAATCCCCAGCTCACGTTGCTAAGCAGCTGGTCTAGGTTTCGATCAGCCACGGTTTTCTTCTGCTCCTGGGGCAGCCCTTCGGCCTCGGCCTCATCCTCGTCGTCGTCCTCCTCCCCACACACATCCAGGCTGAAGTGCAGCCGAGCCAGCTTCTCCTGCATCTCTCGAACATGCTCCAGCTGCTCAAAGGAACATTCCTTCCCTGCCCGGCCAAGAAGCCCAGTGCCAATCACAGCCCAGCCCCGTGGAAGGAGGTTGACCACACAGCCTTGGGAGCTCAAAGCTCATCCCACAAGGCCAACCTTATTTAGGTTCTGCCTCAGGGGCCTCGGTCCCACATCCCTGGCTCGATCACAGATCCCAACCTGTAGGAAAGGGAGAGCCTCAGGCTTAAAGCCCTGGCATTTATTAATAAGCATTTATTAATCACCTGCCATGTGATAGGCACTGTTCTAGGAATTCATCCCTACCCTCAGGGAGTTTACATTCTAATCCTAATTACTCAAACTAAATTGAATCGTGACACCCCAGACTTTGGGCTAACAAGAGCCCTCCTCCGTGATACCCCGCTTCCTCCCCACACGCTTTACAAACCTACCAAAGGCCTGGAGCCGGCCAGAATGGAAGTCATTGAGTAGGTTGAGTAGTCCTCCCTCCATCTCGTAGACTCCAGTCACCTCTGTCAGGAAGGAGTGCTGCAAGGGTGTGCCTGCTGGGGCACCCCCTCCACCAGCTAGCACGGGGCGGCACTTCTCCTTGGTCACCCTGGAGAGGGCAGAGGAGCCACTGGTCAGTCACAGGGGGTGACTGTAGACCTCCAGGCTCCAGAACTGCTAGCTCAAAGGTGTCTGAGGGGTGGGAGGGCTGCCCTCTCATCCTGAGCCCTGGGAGGCAGCACCACCAGCCTGCAGCCCCAGCTCCACCCTGCTTCCTCATGTGACTCTCGGACGAGTCACTGGCCCTCTCTAGGCCTTGGTCTTGTCTGTGGTACAGGGACAGTTGTCCCTGATGCTTTCCTCAGCTGCGTGGGGAGAGGGGAGTAGGACATACTGGAGCTGAGCCCGCAGTCCCCAGCAGACCGGCTTACCTCTTAAACTTGGTCCGCTGCTTTGGGGATGGAAGGTGGGGCAGGCCCAAGGAGAAGGAGGCACTTCGGCTGGTAGGGACCGGGACCCTGCGCAGTGCACCGGCAGGGGGTGCAGGCTGCGACAGGCAGGGCTTAGGGCTTCTCCTCTTCTTCTTGTCGTCCATGTCGGTGTGCGTCCAGGCTTGGCTCCTGAGAGGTTGGGGTGCCCTTGGGGAGTAAGCCTGGGGAAGAGAGAGACTGATGGGCTGCAGTCATGATGAGATGTTCTGGAGGCAAGGACACTGGGGCATGGTCCCAGAGGGGAGAACAAGGAGCAGTGGCTTGAAGTTGTGGAGAGACATCATCAGAGCTGTCCAAAAGTAGTACTGGCTGCCCCAAGATGTAGTGAGTTCCCCATCGCTGGAGGCCTTGAAGCTGAGTAGATGCCCACTGATCAGAGACAATTTGGAGGAGACTCCCATTCAAGTATAGGTTAGATTAGATGCCTTCTGAGGCCCCTTCTGGCCGGGGCCTGGCCTGGAAGGCTAAGACTCCACAGTTGTCCAAGGGGCCAGGAATCCTGAGTTCATGGCCTAGAGGAGGTCCCGCAGAGCTGTCCTCCCACCCTCACCTTATCTTCTCCAGAATGGATTCTGAGTGAGGTGGGCCCTGGTCCAACATTTACTGTGCAGTACTCGTGGAGAAACTGAGGGCCAGGGTGGGGGGCACATTTCCTACTCATTAAAGCATAACATTTCTGACCTAGATAGTCAAAGTGTTCCACAACCTGGCTTTAAATGCCTTTCCAGCCTTCTTCATGCTACTCTTCTCCATGCACTGACCAATCTCACCTACTCTCCTTTAGAGTACCCCCTTGTCGTTCCCTCTCCCATTTCCAATGGCTTCATCTATGTCACTGTCCATGCCGGGCATGGATAATGTTAGGAAAGCCCTTAGCACAGTGCCCAGTACACAGTAGGAGCTTAATCAAAGCTTCTTCCCTTTCCTTCCCCTTCCTCATCCCTCCATCTTCGCCCTGTTGAAGTTGGACCCTCTCTTAAAGACCAGGCTCAAGTGTCTCCTCCTCCCTAAAAGCCTTTCCCAAGTCCTCTCCCTCTGCCCAGCTGAGAGTGATCACCCCCTCCTCAGATTTCTCATAGCCCTTTGCCTGTGCTCCTTTGCTCTTGTCAGACTCAGGTGTTACAATGGAGTGTCCCTGGCTTGGTGCCAGGAGGCCGGAGTTTGACTCCAGGCCCCTTCTGCACCTTCCTTTCATCATTTGTAAAAATGGGTGTATCAATATATGTAAAACGACCTCACAGGATTACTATGTAGGAAGAACTCTGCAAACTTTAAATTGCTAGGCATTTCACACACACACATACACACCACCAGGACCAAGGTTGTTCATCAGTTGTGAGCTCTACAAGGATAGGGCCTGGGTTATAGGCCTAGTGCAGAAGTTCCCAAACGTATTTGTCATACTGTCCCCTTTTCAAAAAAAAAAAAAAATTTACTCAGCATCCCTTGGAAACCTACTTTCTTTAACCCTTTAACAGTTTTGTTTTTTAAATTTACATCATTTCAATAAATATAAAAATTTTTAAATGATGTATCTTAAATTTACTAATTTATTGTAAATTTGTGATTCTTTTCCTGCATTGAAATTTTGCTGATGCAATATTATGTCATGTAACTGTACAGTATCTTGTTGTAAACAGGTCGTTACATGCATGTATTCCTGCCAGTGTGTTCTGGACTCCTCGATGATGTGCTACACGCTCTCCTGCCAATGCATTGTTAAGACCGTTGGCTGACTTGACCAGTGATAGGCTGTAACTTGCATATTGTGTGTTTATTTGGAAAATAACGTAATCATTATGACTTTAACTCTGTTACACAACAGATGAAACATGTACGAACAGTTTTTCAAAATTTTCTTCTCTTCCTTCCTTATGCTTCCACTACCCCGTTATTTTTATTCAACACGCCCCAGTTGCACCTGAGGCTACTGCTGAGTCTCTCCTACACCCCCGCCCCCGCCTCCATTGTTCCAACATCTCCAGGGGGGCAATGTCGCCCACTTTGGGTCCTGTGATTCAGTGTTTGTCCAACTGAGACAGTGCTTGGCCAGATGGCAAGCAGAGCTCTGGGCCCTTGGCAGGTGGGACCAGGGAGAAGGTCTGAGCAGACTCACTCTGGTGATGGTGGGGGATGATGGGGGATGATTAGGGAGGTCTCAACCAGCTTTTCTTCTGTCCCACTTTTTGCTTATTGGCTTAGCTTGCTACTAATGATATTAAAGCCCAGCCCTCGGGTACCTCTGCCCTCCCTTATAAGCCTCAAAGCTCCTGCTTTAGTGAAAAGGGCAGACTGAGGGGCTATTGCAGCCCAGGAGCTCTGGATGGCGAACTTCCCCGTGCCCTGTTTTAGGGTGTGCTCCGTCTGCCCCACACACACCCCAGAAGAGGGGGGAATCAGCCCAGGACAAGTAGAAGGAGGGGCAGCTGTCCCTACATTGGGCAGAACAAACGTTCCTAGAGCCAAGTGGGGATTGAGGCTTGGGGTTGCGTGAAGGAGGTGCCTTGGTTATTGTGCCAGGGCTACCAGGTCATCTACAGAGAATAATGTCCTGGTTCTGTGCCCAGCACTCTGGCCTTCTAGAGAGGATCCCCTTTCTTGGTCGGGGACCTGCTAGCTTCAGTTCCCAGCCCCCCCCCCCAGGGATGTATGTGCCGTTATTCATCCATAGGACAGAGCTTCAATGTGTCCTTTCCTTGCCATCCAAGGAATCGCCCTACTGTTCTGTACAGCACAAAGCTGGCCAGCTCAAGTCAAAGGGGCCACTCCCAACACAGACCTGGCCCTGGGCCCTCCCTCCCCCCTGACTCAGGGAGAGGAATTGCTATCAGTTGCCTTTTGAAGGGTGTCTGCGTGACTGGCTGTGTATGTGCTTTTCTCCGTGCTAATGGCTGGCATGGCGCTGTGTGCTCCAGTTTGACTGGAGAGAATGCTGGAACTGCAGTCAGGAGATGTGGGATCCAGAGGGTCCCAGATGCTAGCAGTGTGATCCCAGACAAATCGTTCTCTTAGCCTCAGTTTCCTCACCTGTAAAATGGAGGTGGTTGTACTGGTGGGTGGTTGTGGGCAATGTGTTTTTTAACCACTGAAGTGCCCTAGAACAGTGATCTGTTATTATTAATCAACAGGCATTTATTAGGCACCTACTGTATGGCTGGCATGGCCCTAGGTGCTGGGGATGCAGAGCCTAACAGGGCAGCAGGCCCGGCCTCTCAAGCAGCTTTCCCTCTATCTGGCCTCATGTGCCTCGGTCCATGAGGAGAAGGATCCATGTGTGAGTGTGGGTGTCTGGGCATGTCTGCTAGCCTTTGTGTCGGTGGGGCAGCCTCCAGCCAGTGCGTGGCCCCCACGGCCACCAAGCCACCCAGCGACATCCTGCCCCACTTAGGCAAGGGGTGTGTAACGAGCTGTCAGGAGCACTCGGCTCAGCATTCCCAAGTGGATCGCTCTGCCCAGCGACCAGCTCTCTGAAAGGGCATGTTCAGACCCCGTGTGCTCCATCCCCCACAATCCAGCAACTGGCCCCACGAAGAAGGACTGACCTGGACAGATCCCAGCAGAAGCTGCCTGCCTGCCTGCCTGCCTGCCTGCCTGCGCTGCTGCAGTGGTCCGGCCTTGGTTCCCCCGCCTCCCACTCTCCGAGATGTGTGTGTGTCTGGAGCTGGGAGTGATTTGCATTTAAAGGGGACGCCTCTTCTCTGTGCTCCCAGGCTTGATCTGTTTAGAGCAGGCCTAGGCTTTCCAACGTGGAGATGCTTCTCCCGTGTGGGGTTTGCCTCCAGCTCTCCTTTAAGGATGGATGAATGGTCACTGAGGCAGACTACCTGGGCGGAGGGGAGGAGGACTCCTCTTAGCTTGAACCAGAAGACTGGGCTGCTACATGCACCAATTGTCCTCTGTCACAGCAGTTTCCCAGAAACCACACGGGCCAGTCAGTTCCACTTGGGAGAACAACAACCCAGTTAGGAACAATTACCTGATCAGTAGTGTTAGACACAACACAGTAGCCCACAGATAATGCCAACAACTTGGAGTGCTTTGCAAACCTTAAAATGTTTTAACAATGCTAGCTACTGTTATTGTAGGACTCAATCTGATTTGATCCTCATAGCAACCCTGGAAGGTGGGTGCTATTATCATCCCCTCTTTTCAGAAGGGGAAAGATCAAGGTAAGATCAAGTTAAGTGACTTGCCCAGGGTCTTTCAGCTAGTGTCTTCTGTATTGCAAGTCCAGTGCTCTATCTACTGGGCCACCTAACGGCCCTAATGGGTTTTATGGTTCCACAAAACAGTTATTGAGAGGTAGCTGGTGAAAGGCCAGCTTGTGTATTCAAAAACCATCTCAAGCATACTTTCAATTTAGTCAGATCCTGGAAGGATTTATTAAATACGCACTCACCAGCTGCCAGGGAGCAGGAAAAGCCTCCTCTCGAAGGTCAAACCTGAGTTGAGCCTTCCAGGAAGCCAGGTGAGAATAGGGAGATTGCCTTTTGAGCATGGGGGACATCTAACCTGGACAAAGGCACCTGGGTGGGAGGCTGAATATGGAGACAAAGTTTGTGAGAAGTAACAGGAAATGACTGGAAAGGTAGACTGGAATGTATTGAGGGACTGGTGCTTTTGAACAACCTCAGTTTGGTAGCTGTGTAAACATTGGATTGGAGAGGGGACAAAGGAAGCAGGGAGATTAATTAGGAAGTAATTTTGATAAATCCAGGAATGTAAAGATGACCTGAGTCAAGTGGTGAGATGGGCATGGATGTGTGATGTGCTGTGGAGAATCAACAAGACTTTGAAGCTGTCGTTCATGTATAGAATATTGCATTGGACAGGGAGAGACAGACAGACATAGAGACAGAAGAATAGAGAAAAAGGAAGAGAGAAGGAGAGACACACAGAGATACAGAGGCACAGACAGAGAAAGAGGGAGAAGAAGAGAGGAAAAGGGGGAGAGAGAGACAGAGACAGTAGGGGAGGGGCATTGAGGATGACTCTTATGTTGTGAGTATGGGTGACTGGAAGTATTGCCCTCAACAGAGTTGGAAGGAGAAGTTACAGGAGAGGTAGTTGCAGGGGTAAGAGAAAGAGCTCCATTTTGGACATGTTGAGACAACCAGGTAGAGACATTTTACTGACAGTTATGGATATGGGCTGGAGTAGCAGTAGGAAATCTGAATCACAGATGTTTGGTGAGGAGGAGGAGGGAGTTCTTTCCCCACTTTTCCGAGTAATTATACACTACCTCATACCTGTTCTTGTTTTTGTTTTTTTGCTTTTTGATGAGTCAACCAGGGTTAAGTGACTTGCCCAGGGTCACACAACTAGTTAGTGTCAAGTGTCTGCGGCTGGATTTGAACTCAGGTCCTCCTGACTCCAAGGCCGGAGCTCTCTCCACTGTGCCACCTAGCTGCCCAGCACACCTGACTTTTCTACCAAGTCCTAGAGAGTCTGTGTGAGTTACTGAGAAGCTATGTGATTTGCCTGGGTATTCTGCTAGGGTCAGAGTCAGGATTTGAATCCACATGTTCCTTTATCCACTGATTGCATGGAGGACTTTGATGAAGGAAGAGGAGTGGTCTGCTTGGGAAACTCAAGAATAAGGAAATGCACAGGAGGGAGGCTTCTCCCTAGCCTCCAGCCCTTCCTTTGGATCCAGGACCCAGCTTCTGTTAACACAGATTCTCATTTTCCAAGGATTTGAGGAACAAGAAGCGATTAGCTGTCTGAAAATTTTAAGGTCCTGAGAGGCTTTCTTTTGTCTTGAGTTGCCTGTGAGCTGGGATTCAGTTCCTCCATAATTAACCTTTATGCCCCCTCCCACTGTTCACATCAATTAGCCAATAAACATTTATTAGGCACCTACTATGTGCCAGGCTTATATGCTCATCACACCTCTGCTGAATGCTGGGCCCTGTTTTTGGAAATGGGAAGAGGAGAGCCTTTTCAACTTGGGGGTTGGGGTGGGATGCTGCTCCCAGGTCAGGGAAGACTTCATTGTGGAAATGGCCCCTAAGCAGCATCCAGAAAGTAGGCACATTGAATACAGCGAAATTGAGGGAAAACGAGCCCATTCTAGTCACAGGAACATTGGCAAAGGTAAAGATACCGAAGACAGACGCAGGACAAGAGTGAATAGTTGTTTACCTGGAAAGCTATACTTATCTGGCCTAAGGCTAGAAGGCAGGTTAGTGCTAGATAATAGACCTGGCCTGCTAAGCCGGATTTTCATTTATTTTTTGCTCCATAAGCAACGGGGAGTTACTGAAGATTTTGGTAGAGGACAAGGTAATCAGGGCTGGGCATTGGTAACAGAATTCAGGAAATAATTGGAGGTAACATGGGGTAGTGATGTGAAGCCTAGGCTGGAACATCGGCTCCGCTACACAATAACTAGGTGACCACTGGCAAGTAACCGATCTTCGTGGCTATCCGTTTCCTCGTCTATAAAATGAGGTCATTAGACTGAGAATGGAGAGAAATACTCCAGGTCCTTCAGCAGAAACATTCTGCCCATGGGGAAAGTGGCCTGGTCTCCCAGCCCATGGACCTGATCCTCTGTTGGGAGGCCTGATCTGTCCCTCCTACCCACTGGCCCAACCCTACCCCAGGGTGGAGAACATAGAATATGCCTGAGAGCTACAAGCCAAGAGCGAAGTCTCTGCCCACCCTAAGCCCTGCCCTCCCCAGTAGGTAACAGGGAGACATCTCTATGATGGTGTAAAATAATTAATTACCCTAGGAGAGGAGCTATGGAGGGGAGGAAACCCAGTCTCTCCCACCCTCTTGCCCAGGTGCACAAGCTCAACTAGGACTAATGAAAGGGCAGAAGTCACGGCTGGCAGCGTTGGGACTTGTCTGTCCCTGAAAGTCTGCCTTCAAATGTAGCAATGGTCTTCACACAAACTTAACACTCTCATTCTGTAGGTAAAGAAACTGGCCCATGGGGAGGAAATGCTGGGCTCCAGATCCCACGGCTGAGCAGGATCTCAAGTCCGGGTCTTCTGACTTCCATTTTCCACTCCCTACCCCACAGCCTCAAGCTCTGGGGAGGCAGAACCTGCCAGCCCTCTTCACCCAATCCTAGAGCAGCCTGTTTAGAAGGCAGGGCTGTGTAAGGCCGTGCCCCAAGAACAGTGAGAAGCTAAGGGCCGGGCAGGCAACTATTAGTCACAGACCACAAGGTCTCAGCCATTCCAGGTCAGTATAAACAGGAAAGCTTAAAGTAATACAGAAAAAAAAACGGGCCCTCATGCTTGCATTTCACAATGGCCAAGCTGCTTAACTTCTGCGCCTCAGTATCCTGTGTAAAATAAATCTCCCATCTCTCTCTCCAGGTCACATTCTGCACCCTGACCCCAAACTGGACTCTTGTTCCAGAAACACATCCTGTATGTTTTTGCCCTTGGGTCTGTGCTTACACTGGCTCCCTAGGCCAAAAATATCCTTCCTGTCCTTTGCCTATCGAATACTGGAAAAGTCCAGCTCAAAAGGAATCTGCTCCAGAGAGCCTTCCCTGAACACCCGACCAGTTCCACCCTTGGGTTTCTCAGCTCTAGCACTTCTCCCACCACGTCACTGGTTCCTTGTGTCCCTTTACCCTGTGCTAGATTATCAAGTCCACCGAGGTAGGGCCAGGATTAGTCCTGGGCCATGGACAACTCTGAATGTCAGTACTTGTGGAGGAGGCTGAGGGAGAAAAGATGTGGCTGCAAATCACCTGGCTGGCCCCTGAATCAATCAGACTCCAGATCACAGGAGACAGGATCAAATTAAGGCAACAGACTATTTAATGTGGTTAAAAATACATCAAAATCACCCCTCCCTCCCCCACCCCTGTCTGTTGTGAAAAGGAAAGACAGCTGTTAGCATACAGCTTCCAACCTCCATGGGGTCAGGCCACCTGGAGGGCCCAACAGGCAGGAAGCCATCCCTTTACTCTTCCCCCCCAAACCCTGTCTACCTTGCTGTGCCACTGGCAAGCCCCAAACCAAGCCATTCTGAGTCGGCCCCTCACAGAAAATGCCCAAGTTTGACCCAGGGAGAATCCGTGCTGTGGCACCTATGATCACATGCTCTGTGCCTATAGCCCAATGGGCTGGACACGTTCTCGGGACAAGAGCCCGAGGCTAAATCGAACAGTGTGCACAGGGCTGAATCCCTGAAACAAAAGCCACTAGCTTCAGAGCTCTCCGGGCCCAAGGCTGAAGAGGCCAAGCATAGTACTCCTTTGGGACACACCTTTTGGATTACCTCACCCACTGGGACCTGCCCAGGATCCTTGTATAACCCAGTCCCTTGCCTGCCCAGGGCTAAGCATCCATTGTGAGAAGCTAAAAGGAGGGAGCTGCAGCCTGGACCAGCTCCCTTCGGAGAGCAGCCAGCAGCAGGTGTGGTGAATTCTGAGATTTAGTCACTAGTGGGAGAAAGGCTAAGAATTAAAAAGGGGCCAAGCAGGGAAAGGAAGCCCTAGTGTGGCGGCTGCTGGTGCCTGGGTGAGCAGATCCAGCACTAACTGAATCCTTGACCTCACCCAGTTTACTGGGTGTTGAAAAGAGAAGTCAGTCTGTGGCCAGATGAGGCATCTGGGCTCACCATTAGCTCGCTTCCCAGCAAAGGGCTCCAACATTTTGAGGCCTGGAGTCTGCTTCTGTAGCCCCAGGCCTACAGCAGCTTAGAGGTAGCTGAAGTGAGTTGGGCAATGAGTGCCATCCACAACCTCTTCAGGCAGACAGAAGTCCAAACTATGACTACCCAGAAGGCCCTGTGTGGCCCTGGGGTGGCAGCTCTAGCCTAGCACTCACTGAGAAGTGAAGGGGCACCTTGGAAGACTGAAAAAGAATAAAGGGACAGGAGCAACACAGACTCTTCTATTCTACCCCAGAGGTGGGAAAATGCTTCCGAGTTTGGAATGCAAATGAAACCAAGTGCTGGTTGGGGTTTAGAACTAGCCCTTTGAGGGCACACATGTCCCACCTCCAACTGCTGATGCCCTGACAAGTGCCCCACGCCCTCACCTTCAGACCTGGCCCACAAAGACAAAAGATCGGCACATACACAATATCAGCGGCATGCTGCTCTGGTCCCTGCCTTGGGCTCCCCTGGGGAAGGCTCTCCCAGAGTCAGGAAGAAGAGTCAAGCCAGAGCCACCCAAAAGACACCAGTCAGAGCACAGGGGGAAGGGAAGACCGTGACCCTGGAGAACAAGGTCTGTGAGAACATGATTTAGGGTTAGTTCACCTGTGAATAGGACGTAGTGCGAATGACTGTGATATGGAAAAAGGCCAGGAAGGGCAAAGGAGGGGATGGATGGGAAGAAACAGAGCAGCCAACGTCCTCTAGGTCAGCTTGCTTTGTCTCCTCTGCTCTGCAGTTTTTGTAGCTCCTTTGGTCCCTCTGAGGCAAAAAGCTAGGCTGGAGTAGAGGTCACATAGGCACCCTGCCTCGCACCTGGGGCTTGGCTGGGCCAGGGGATTGCTTCAAACCACAGGAGGCATGATTGGTAATGCCTCAAGGGTGCAGCCCAGAGACAGGGAAAGCCAAACTCCCTGTCACCAGGCTCATTAGAGGAGAGATGGCTCTCCAGCTATACATTTCCGGCCCCTTCCAGGAATGGGCCGATCTTGGGAGAAATCTTGTGCCCTTCTGGCCTTGGCCAGTGTACAGGCTCATCTGTAGCCAGAGCCCTGAGCCCAGACTCTCTGAAAGTCCAGGAGACCATCCTTAGACCTCTGCTCAAGCCAAGGAAAGCTTAGTGTTCACGGGTAGAGGGGGAGTCTTGCAAGACGCTTCATCGAAGCAAGCCCAGGGGTGGCTGTGGGTCGTTCTGAGGAGTCCATGGAAACGGGTGGGGATGGCTGGGGGCCTGGGGCTGAACTGCTGTGAGAACAAGAGGCAGCCCTCAGGATCCTACAGCCCTTAGAGTGATTCAAGCAACACTAAAGGGAAGCATCCCCGTCTCTGTGAGGAACGTGCGTCTACTGCATCCACTCAGCTAAGGCCCAAAGCTGGGGCAGGGAAGAGAGGGGTAAAGGAGACCGTCCTCCTCCTACCTCATCAATTCCTCACCAACGACACACTCGTGTGCAAAACCCCCGTGCCACCTTCGGAAACAACCCATGGGATGTTCTCTTGTGCTGGAGGGAGAGGCAACTGTGAATCATAAGGCTACTGGGACACATTGTCTGGTTTGGGCATGAATGGAAAGCTCAAGAGGCTCCCACCGGGGGTCTTTAAATAAACGGGCTCCTCGATCTTGTCTCTCTCCACTGGAAAACACTAAAAAACGCTGGCTCTGAATCCCTGCTGGGCTCCCAGAGCAGGAGGGGCAAAGACTCTCAGTGCAATGGGAGGACTCTAAGCCACAGCGAGCCCAGTTCTCTCAACCAAAACACAAGAGAGTGCGCGTATGCACTGGGACACCAGCGAGGCTCCGGTCACGGGGGCCTCAAGGGAGAAAAGAACAGCCCAATAACCTGCCCTGACTGTGGGAAGTCACAGGAGATGTGCCCTCTGCTGAGCCCCTCCAAAGCACTCATTAGTCACATGTCTCTCCCCTTGCACCGAGGCACGGGGAAGCAAGTGCCTGCTTTACATGTATGTATATAAAAGTATGGGGCATGGCACACACTTTTATATGCCATACATATATAAAAATCATCTTCAAGAACCTAAATTGGAAAGTGTCAATGCCTGATGGGCCCCAGCTCTTCCCCATGGCAGCCCCTAAGCTGAGAGGGGACACAGCAGCTGGGCCTGTAACATTCACCAGCTCCCCTCCTGGCATCCCTGGTCTTCCTTCCACCGGGGTGTCTCTAGTCAGTAGAAGGGGTGGCTTCATCAGCCTCCGTCTGGCCTGAAACACTTGTGCTCAGTTCGGGGCCCTGGGGGGCAGCCTCTGTGTGACACAGAGACTGGGGGACCTCGGGGATCAGGCCCTCAACCAGCGGTTCGGCACCGCTGTCCCTCTGTGGGCCCTTGGGGGACTCTGGGGTGTCTGCTTCACCCGGCGGGGGATGGGCACTCAGGTCCTGCACCTTCTTGTTCAGGTCATTGCGTTCACTCTGCAGGGCCCGACAAAGCTTCTCCAGCCGCTGGATTTTCACCTGTAGGCCTTCCAGCTCCTTGTCTCGAAGAGTTTTCTGAAAGAAAAGAAAACGTGCCCTTTTAGAACTAAGCGACAGAAGGGCCCAGTCTCGAGTCCCCCTCCCGTGAGGGCAGCTTGAATTTCAAGGCGTCTAGGTCAAAGCTACTGCTGGTCCCTGCGTGTGCAAAGCCCGCACGCTCCTCCTTGGCTTGGAGCTGCCCCCTCAGGCAGGACAGTGACCCTGAGGTGACAGACTGTGCCCACCCCACCTCCCCCCCGGACACACATTTCACAGCACGTCCTCTGGGGCTCCCTAATGTCCTTCCCTCTTCACACACCCTCTCCCCAGTGTTCTCTGCCTGGAGAACCATTTTCCCTGTTGAAGGACAACTTCTCCCTCTCGCCAACCCAGGGAAGGGCCCGGCATGATGAGGGGCCCGGGGTGGCCTCCCCCTCCCTCCACGCACCTCCTCGGCCATCTCCAGCAGCGCCTTGTTGCTGCTCTCCCACCGGGATCGGTACATGGTGGTCTCTTTCTCCAGCTTCTTGATCTTTTTGGTCATCTGTCACGTGAGGAACAAAAGGGAACCGTTACTGTGTCCACAGGCGCTGGAGGGATGGCGGCACAACACGGGGCTCGGGTCCACGCCCAGCACCAAGAAGGGAGCGAGGCCCATGAGTCCCCAACCACAGGCTTTCCTGGGCCTGCACAACTACCAGCGGTGATGGTCATGGTAAGAGATCTGGAGTCTTTCCCCAAAGGAGGCCAGAGTCCATTGCCCACATAACTGCTTTACCCTTATTGGGAAGAATTGGATAATATCCACCCTAAATTCAACTTTAAAAAATAAAAAAGAAAGAAAAAAAAAGGCAAGCAGGACTGGGAGAACTATTGTCCCCAAAGTGGAGTCACCAAGCTGGCCCTGGCCCCAGCCCTGGAAGAAAAATGCCACCTTACATGACCCCAACGCTTCCCATGTTGGTCCTGTGAGAGCCCTGGAGCGTGGCTACTTCCCTGTTACAGATGGCAGAGAAACACACAGGGACGTCGGGAGGCTTGCCCAAGGTGATGAATGAGGGCTGTACTCGAGGGCCCCTTGCTGACCTTTCCCAGGCTGGGCCAAGGCTGTTACCTTTTCCATTTCTTGCTTAAACGTCGTGAACACCTCGCTGCTCTTGGACAGAGTGTTCTGGAACTCCTCAAACTTCTCCGTGTACAGTGCGAGCTGTGAAGACAAGAGCTTGGGTGTCAGGCCCCGCTACCCGCCCGCCTGCCCACCGCCCATGCCAGGGGTGCTGCCTCCCTCGGGCCCTACCTGCTGCTTCAGGTGGGCCTCCTGCTGCTTCATCAGCTCACACACACGCTGGGACTCCACCGCTTCCTTCAGCAGCTGTTCCAAAGACAAGTACACCTCCAGTCAGTGCCGCGTTCTCCAAGTAAGGGCAGCATAGAATGGAGCTTTGCTGCCATCAGAGGACAAGGGCTCTCGAGACTTGGGTGCAGTGTGCATCTTAGCCAAGGCCTTGCAGAGACAACACCAACCTCTGCCCCAGCATCTATCGTCCCAACCTTATTTGGGAACCTATCACCCCCAAATTGTAGGGATGAGGAAATTGTGACCCAGGAAAGTAAGAGGTAGGGTCAAAGCCTGAACTCAGGTCTCAGAGTCCTGTGACTGCCAGGCCTCCACGTCTCCTCAAGGCCCTCCATGCGGCATTCCTGACTGACCCCCCGCCCCCAACTAGCCTGAGCCCCAGAGGAAAGAGACCAGCTGCTATCCATCCTGGTTGACCTGTGCTGAGTCCCAGGGCCTGCACAGTGAACCCTTAATCCAGGTTTAGTGATTTAAGTTTTTAACACGCATATCTTTGGCTACAGATGAGACCAAAGGCTAATGAAACGAACATCTGCAGCCCAGCACGTGCCTTGGGGGGGTAGTTTTCAGAGGACTCTGCTCCTCAAGGTGACGACACTTACAAAGTCTTTCTCTCGCTGGTGCCTGTCCTCAGCCTCCTTCAGCATCTCCTGGGCCTGCAAGAGCTTGGCATCCACCAACTGCTGCTGCAGGTCCTTGTGTTTGAAGACCTTGTCAATGTGCTGCCAAGAAAAGCCAAGAAGGCCCAGGTCATGAGGGGAACGGGCCTGGCCAGGACCCAGACGAGGTGCCACGTGCCCAGGCAGCGCTATATAGGACAAAGGCCCTGGCCAGTCCTGGAGCAAATGGAGGCTCCTGGCCGCCCTGGGAAGCTGTCACTCACTCAAAGTCATCCGAGTCTGACCTGACACTCCCACCTCCCCCTTCAGTGCTCTCCCCACGACTGCCTGTGAGCCTGTGATCTCTCTTCAAAGCCCTTTCCCAGGTTAGGGACAGCTCCACGGGTTTCACCACACTGAGCAGCATCTCGGGGTAGTGAGGAACACTAGACTCAAAGCCAGGACACCCCTGGATTCAAATCCTGCCTCTGCTACTGACTGGCCTGTGTGATGCAAGCAAATCACCTAACCTCTTTGACCTCAGTTTCTGTATCTGTAAAATGGGGAAGTGATACTTGGAACACCCTGGGCCAGGAAAGCAGCAAGGTTCAGTTAGGCCTTTAGGGAAAGCCCCTCACGCTGTACACAACACGTCACTGCTAGTCTAATGGGAGGCTGTGTGCCCTCCAGGAGGGCAGCCTGGGCCCTCTGCCCCTGCCTCGGGTCACCCCCATCATCACTCTCCAGGGGGTCCGGGGTGGCCGAGCTCAGGTCTTCTGCGTGCAGTGGCCCCCCCCCCCGGGCCCCCAGCCCCGCCCGGCCTCCAAGCACCTCCTCCCGTAGCTCATACTGCTCGATCAGCTTCTTGAGCCGCTCAGCCAGCTCCATGTTCTCTTGGCGCAGCTTGGAGTTGCGTTCGTTGTGCTGCTCCATCTGCAGCTGGATGTCATTAAGGGTCACCTGGAAGTGGGAGGTCACCTCCTTCCGCTTCTCCTCTTCCTCTCGAGCTCGCTGGACGCCTTCTTCCTACAGAACGGGAGGAAGGATGCAGGTGAGGAGCCCCCAGGCTCCCCTGAACCCCTCTCCTCACAGACAGTGATGCATGAACAGCGGAAGGCCTGGCAATGACCTCTGAACAATGGTCGCAATTCAAAGGCTGAGAGGTAACCCCAAATCATCTACACCAGGGATGCGAAGCCTGTGGCCTCGAGGTCACACGTGGCCTTCTGGGTCCTCGGCTGCAGCCTCTTGACAGAGTCCCAGTTTTACAAAGTTTACAAGTTTTACTAAGGGGATCTGTTCTGTGAAGTTTGGATTCAGTCAAAGGGCCGCACTATCCCTGAAAAGGAATCACCTGAATAGCAGCGACAAGCCCACAGCGCCGCCCACGCTTGCGCTCCAGAGGAAGCGCATGCCTTCTCCAAAGGCAGCTCTCTCCCAGCCGGGCTCCCAACAAGCCCAGATGGGCCTCTCAGCCACCTCTGCCCCTTTCTCCTAGCCTGTCCCTTGGCGCCCGATCCTGCCTTGCCCACGGGGACGGCTTCGTCACAGGCTGCTTGGGGAGCAGCCGGCTGGGGTGCTGCCCCCAGGCTCACCTTGAGAGTGCGGTTGTGCCTCTGTAGCTCCCGACACAGGCTCTCCAGCTTGCTGCGGGCAAGGACCGCCCGGCTGTGCTCGCTCCTCAGGTGGTCCTTCTCCTGCACCAGCTGGCTCTGCTTCTTCTGCAGGACTCTCATCTGTTTCTGAGAATTGCGGTGCTCCTCCAGCTGTAAAAAACAAAGGGGCACGGGGCACAGAAGCAGCAAGTGATGGGGAGGGGGGCGGGGGGCACAGTGTGTGGCACTCACCAGGTGAAAACTCACAGACAACGTGAATCTTTTGGGGAGACTGCCTGCCTGTCTCTGGGCAGACCACCATGGAGCAAAGTAACCAGGCAAAGAGCTTTGAATCCTTCCCTCCTCCTACTCAACCCAATCTCTCCACTTCCTGTTTTTCTCCCCCTCATTCCAATACTTACAAGTTGGGGGATACTGGGCAAGTCACCGAACTTTTTGGAACACCAGTTTGTCATCTGTAAAATGGGGCTAATATTGTTTTTACTTTTGGCTAGGCAATGGGGCTAAGTGAATTGCTCAAGGTCACACAGCTAGTAAGCGTCAAGTGTCTGAGGCTGGATTTTTTTTTAAAATTTTTAATTTTTAGGCAATTAGGTTAAGTGACTTGCCCAGGGTCACACAGCTAGTAAGTGTCAAGTGTCTGAGGCTGGATTTTTAAAAAATTTTTTATTTTTAGGCAATTGGGGTTAAGTGACTTGTCCAGGGTCATACAGCTAGTAAGTGTCTAGTGTTTGGTCTGAGGCCGGATTTGAACTCAGGTCCTCCTGACTTCAGGGCAGGTCCACTGCCCCGCTAATACGTTTAGAGTACCTTACAGGGCTGTTAGGAGGGAGAGGGCTCAGAGCACCGAGCAGCAGCAGCAGCATCCCATTAACACCAATGACGACACTGCCTCCGGCATTTGGAACAAGGCCATGGTATGCCTCATTAGCCTTAGGAGCTAGGCAGGGCAGGGGGATTGCTGCCCATCTGGTAAATGACGAGGCCCTGCCCAAGGCTGCGTCCATCCGAGCCAGGCCTCCCCCGTCCATGGAAGGAGGAGCCAAGGCTGAAGTAGCAGGAAACAGCCCAGAGCCTCCTTCACTAGCTCACACTTCCCCCACAACAAAGCAGCCAGAGAGGCTGAGGACAGACATTTCACGTGTTCAAAGTCCTAGGTCATGCCGGGAGAAGGAACAGAGTGTCACTGCCCTGGGAACCAGGCCCTTCTTGCCTTGTGTGTGACCTTGACTGTGACTGAATGACTGAACCACCTCTGAGCCTGGCTCTGGATGAACATCGTGGGGGCCCTTCCCTTGGTCCCCCATCTCCCAGGACAGCTGCCAAGCAGAGGCTGGTCCTGGCAGAGTAGTTGAAGCAAAGTGCCCTGGCCAGTCAGCCCCCCGTCACTTCTGATGTGACCCCATCCATGCTGGAGGTGGGGGGATAACTTTTGAAGGGAGACTCTTATTCTGTGGCCAATTCTTCTAAGTTGCAAACACTCTCTCCTTTCTCTCAGTGATCCCAGGGAACACAGCTAGGGGGATTCCCCCATCTCTGCCTCCACGTTCTTCACCAAAGAACCAAAGAGAGACTAAAAGAAATCTTCATGCCCCGTCACATGGTTTAGTCCCCAGGCTGTGATGTGTTGTTACCCACGTTTGCTCCTCAGGGTCAGGCCCATGCCAACCTTGAGGTCACCCAGATTCTACAACCCTGAAGGAGGAAGAACGAGGGCACTGACCAGCTCAGCGTATTTCTTGCATAGTGCAGCCAACTTCTCCTCCGGGGTGCTAAGGGTGTTCAGCGTCTGCATCAGCAAAGTGATCTCCTTCCCTGGAAGGCACGGGTACACAGAGTGAGTCTTCCTCACGTATACCTCCAAACAACAGGGGACACTCAGGTTAGCTCTCAGCCCCAGATCCCCACTCCTCTGATCGCCCAACCCTCAGTTCAGACCCAAGATTTGCCACACAGATGAAAGGAGTGGGACTGGGGGGGGGGCAGCTCAGGCCTTCCAGGCAGCTTCCCTCAGACACCTGGCAAATTCCTGACAAATTCACTGGTTTGCTTTCCTAGGACCTGTAAAAATTTCCTCTTTAAAGAGTGAACAAGTGGCAGGAAAGGAAGAGATGGACAAAGAAAAATCCCCAGAAGTTGACGCCTGAGTCATCTGGAGCCTGTACCCCAGGATCTGCATACATGACACGACTGCCACTTAGAGCCTCTAGATCAGGCAGGCCACACGTGACATTTACTCCAAATTCTCTCTCCTTCTGGAGACAACTGGGGTTAAGTGACTTGCCCAGGATCTCCAAATTCTCTCATCTCTCGAAACCAAATTCAATCAAAGAGATATATGTTCAGTGTCTTTAATACAAAAGATGGGAAAGGACAGTCTCTGCCCCCAAGGAGCTTACACTATTGGGGGGGGGGGAAGCTCTAACAATCCTACAGAAAAGGGAGATATCAGAGAGAATGCGACAAAACCTTGAAACTCCATGTAGCAGGGCTTCTACCTCTCTTACCCAGGCCTTTGGCTTTCTTCTTTTCCTGGACCCGCTTCTGGTCTCGGTCCCCACCCTCATCATTTGCCCGGATCTCTTCGACACCTGGCTCTCCCTTGGTGATTTCCTTCACTCCATTGACTTCAGGGGTCCCCGGTTCTGGTTCTCCATTCCGGGCAGAATAATTTCTGCTCTTCTCTACCTCATCTGGCTCTGTGTGTTCATTCTGGCCCCCGTCATCACCTGGTCCCTCCTGACTGCTATCAACACAGTAGGTATTCAGTATGTCTTCCAGCTGCCGACTCAGCTCCTCTGAGACATCACAAACAGGTCCTGACTGAGAATTCTTGGTTTGCCCCCCTGCAACAGAAAGACAGGGCAGAAAATGAAACTAAGACCTCGATTTATGGCTTGCAAAATGACTTCCTTATATTATCCCTGTGAAGTATGTGTCATGATTATAATTTTCCTGCTTTTATAGAGGAAACCGCTGAAGCTGAGAGCAGTTGTGTCTTAGCCACTGTTACACAACTAGGAAATGCCAGACCTTAGGTGGCTCCTGAGGACCCTGATTCCAAGCACAACCTCCTCTCCAGTTCACTAAACTGTCTTGGTTAATGAATGACATGCCCAAGGATTTCTAAAAATCTGGCCATTAGCTCACATATTCTCCCAAACAGGCACAAAAGCAACAGGTAACCTTCCTAAGGAAATTCCTCCGGCTGTTAGAAGAATCCTGCTCCACCCCACAATGCCACTTCTAGGACCATTTAATTAAATTTAATCCTCTTAGGTTTCCCCTTTAAGGGCAGTTAAGTCATGGCAGAGAAAAGGAAATACAGGTTAATGATAAGTATTGTAGCCAGTCAGTCAGTCGTGCCAGGTACTGTGCTAAGTGCTACGGATACAAAGAAAGGCAAAAGACAGCCGTGCTCTCAAGGAGTCTCAACATGCATCTCTTGATAAACTTATACCCAGTAGCTATGTGACCATAAGCAAGTCACAACCTCTCTGAACCTCGGTTTCTTTATCTGTAAAATAATGCACAGGTATACAAAGCTTATGACTTTTAAAGCATTTCCTCACAAAATCAGGAAAATAATTCTTATGCTCCCTTACCAACAGAGCTGTTGTGAGGAAGAAGTTTACAACTCTAAACACCTTGGAAATGTGAGCTGTTATTAGATGACCTAGGTAGGAGAATCTTCTTCGCTTCCTCTAATTTAGTTGGGGACACAGGGGATGTGGCCAAAAGTTCCCAACCTGGGACTCTCCCAAGTAGGCAGCAGTCTGCCTGGAACATACCCTCATTCTTCTCCTGGGCCTGGCTAGCAGGACCTTCTGCATTTCCCTCTGCTTTAGGAGCAGAGTCACCAGACGCACGCTGACTCCCGGGCTCCTGGGCATCCTCAGGCTTCGAAGTCTGGGATGAATTGGCTTCTTGAGGCCCTGCTCGGGCTTTTGCTTTGGAAGGGCTGGCTGGTTGCTTCGAAGCACCACCCTCTTTGTCTCGATTTTTCATCGTGGTTAAGGATGCTCAAGTCTGAACGAACCTTTCAAAAGTAAAAGCACCGAAGTTTAGGGCCCCAGGTTCTGGGCTGCTGCTTCCTGATCTTTTAAACCACAACTTTGATCGTCCCCAGACTCACTTCGGAAGGGGCTCATCAGATGCTTCTTGGGCGATCCAGCCTCCCCCCGCCTCTAGGATTTCTCCCAAACCAGGCCTGACTCGGGGGTGGGGGTGGGGAAGGGGTAAATATCCGATGCCGCGGCCCCAAGGACCCTCTGCGGTCTGGCTCCGTCCTTCGGGGCGCGGGGCCTGGCACAGGACGAGCGCCCGTAGACGTGTCTACGAGGGCAGGCGGACAGAGGGCTGGCCAGGGGGGTCCCCTCCCACCTCGCGGGCTGAGCCTAGTTCCCAACTCCGAGGCCGTCTAGTCCCAAGGCTTCCCCTCGCACGTAGCCCAGGAACGCTCAGTCCCCGCCTCCTGGGGCGGCCGGGGGAGGGGCGCCACTCAGGGAGACCCCAGCCCCACATCCCACGTGGGCCCCGCCCCGCACTGCCGCGCACCCCTCGGGATGCTTCCGCGCAAGCGCGCTAGCGCCTCGTTCATGGCTCCCCCTCCCCCCAGCCAAGGCCCGACCTCTCCCCCTCCTCTCCCCGCGTCCACGCGCTCCGTACCGCGCGCCGCTCCCGGGCCTGTGAGTCAGGCAGGCTGCGATCCCGTCCTGGCCCTGCTCTCCTTTCCCACCGCCGCCTCAGCCGATCTCTCTTCTTCCTCTGCGGCCGATTCCCCCTTCCCCTCCCCCAAACAAGACACACAGCGTAAGGATACCGGTTCAGGCCTCACACCGGAAACGCCGGGCAACGGCTGCCGGTGGAGACGCCCGCCCCCTCCCCCAGCCTTAGCCAATCAGAGGCCAGAGGCCTCGCGAGGCCTGTCGGGAAGGGTGAGGCGGCGGCGGTCACAGCCGAGGGGAAAGAAGCTGGGCACGAATGAGGTGGGAGGAGGGAAGAGAAGGACACTACATGTCCCGTCATGCTCCGAGGTGAGGATTCAGCACCAATCCCAGGATGCAGCGGGGCTGAGCGCTTTTGCTCTACCTGTGGGAGGGGGCTTGCGAGAGTGAGTCCCTAGAGTCCACTGGACCCAGCCCTTCGACCCCCAAGCGTCTATTAAGCTCCAGCCGTGTGTTGTGCACTGTGCTAGGTGCTGAAAAGCGAAGATAAACACAAATGAAGGCTCAAGCCCACTCCGTGACCTTCACTTATGCTATCTTTAGGATGTAGAGGATGTTAAAAAAAAAAAGACAAAGTTTATTTTTTAAAAGAGAGAAAATTAAAACCCATCAACATTAGGTGATTCCAAAGATATTCTTACTCTATTCTTAACCCTGTCAATTTGGAAGGAAGCATTTATTAAGCGCCTGCTATGTGCCAGGCACTGCTGAGCACTGTACAGATATTTCAATAGATCCTCACAAGGGAGCACAGGGTGCCGTTATCATCATCCCCATTTTACAGCTGAGGAAACTGAGGCTAAGTGCCTCCTCAGGGTCCCACAGCTAGTAAGCATCTGAGGCCACATTTGAACGCAGATCTTCCTGACTCCACTTCTGTGCCACCTGGCTGCCAACACTTTGGCTCCCAATAATAACAAAAATGAAACACTCCCCAACCTCAGGGGATTTGCTGCTAACGGGGAGCTACCATACATACATGTAGCCCTGCAGACTTCACAAATATACAGCATATATGCGGTAGGGCTTCAGTAACGAGGGGATCAGGAAAAGCCTCAGGGAGGAGCAGGAGATGTAAAGGAAGCCAGGCATGTCGAGGTGAGAGTAAATTCTAGGCATGAGGAACAGTAAGGAGACAGGCATGGGGATGGGAAACAGACCTGTTCCATGAGTGAGGTTAATAGGGCTGGATAACAAGGGGGCCATATGGGAATGATCTGTACAAACACCACCAAGATAGGAATGGGACTGGTTGTAATACTAGAAGAGACAGTATTTAATCCTAGAGGCAATAATTGGGAGCTATTGGAGTTTATTCAGTAGAGAAGGGTGACATGGGCAGACCTGCATTTTAATTTCTAATTTTTATCTATTTATTTTTATTTTTAGGCAATTGGGGTTAAGTGACTTGCCCAGGGTCACACAGCTAGTAAGTGTCAAGTGTCTGGTCTGAGGTCAAATTTGAACTCAGGTCCTCCTGACTTCAGGGCGGGTTCCACTGCACCACCTAGCTGCCCCTAGACCTGCATTTTGGACAAAGCATTTGGACCGTTGTTGTGCAGGAGGATGGAGTGGAAAAAAGCTTCAGGTAGGGAGAACAGGCTGATAATATGAAGTGCTGAGGGCCACTGTGTGAATGGGAGAAAAGGGGACAGATGAGAGAGAAGGGGAGAAGTGTTACATAGAAATGAAAAGATTTGGCAAATGACTGACTGTATGGGGTGTGGGGAAATGGAGAGTTGAGGAAGACACCAAGACTGGCAACTGAAAAATTGGTGACGCTGACAGTAATAGAGAAGTCTGGATGAAGGGAGAGCTCCTAAATTAAGGGGAATTAATTAAGGGGAAAACTCATAAATTCAATTCAATCCAATCCCAACAACCTTTGGGATATCTAGTTTGAAATGCCTGGTGGGCAATTTCGGATATGAACCTGGTGCAAGAGAGAGATGTGAATCTGGGGTTTAACTGCATAGAGATAACTGACTTCATTGGGGCTGATGAGGTTACTAAAAAAAAGTATAGAGAAAAGAGAAGAGAGCTCAGGACAGACTTAGTTTGGGCAAGATGATGACAAGAAATTAACAAAGGACATTTAGAAGGAGTGGTTAGACCAGTTTGGTAGGACAACTGGGAGAAAGCAATACCATGAAAAGCCAGAGAAAAGATAGTGTCAAGGAAGAGAGCATGGTCAACAGCTTCAAGAAGGATGAGGATTAAGAAGTCATTAGATCTGGCAATGTGGAGAGAACAGTTTCATTTGGGTGACTGGGTTGGAAGCCATATTGAAGGTGTTAAGGAATAGAGTAGTGAAGTCACTAATTGTAGATGGCTAATTTTAACATACATTTTGATAACTTGTTTTTACATCACCTACATTTTTTAAATTAAAATTTTTCAGTCAGCAAAAATGTGTCTTCCCTTTCTTCCATCCTCTCCCACCAGTTACAAATGAAAGAAAAACAAAACCCGTTACTAACATGTATAGTGAAGCAAAGCCAATTCCTGCAATGGCAATATCTAAAAGAAAAATCATCTCTTTCTCATTCTGCACCCCGAGTCTCTCACCCCCTTTATCAGGAAGTGGGTAGCATGTTTCATTACTCTTCCTCTGAAATCATAGTGGGTTATTATGCTGATTAGAGTATGTAAGTCTTATAAAACTGTTTATCTTTACAACAGTGTTTTATCATTGTAGAAGTTGTTTTCCTGGTTCTGTTCACTTTACTTTGTATCAGTTCATATAAGTCTTCTCAGGTTGTTCTGAAATCATCCCCTTCATCATTTCTTATGGCACAATATAATCGTAATCTATTACATTCATACACCACAACTTGTTCAGCCATTCCCTGATGGATGGGCATCTCTTCAGGTTCTAATTCTTTGCCACTTCAAAAAGAATTATACATATTTTTGTACATCCTTACAGTTTGTTTTGTTCAGGATTAGTCCCTCCCCTAATTCATGTATTGTACTATGGTAGTGCAGGAAAAAAAGACTATTGTCAAGTCAACAGCACTTATTAAGCATTTGCTACGTACTGGGACACTGTGCTAAGCACTAGGGATACGAAGGTGAAAACAATCACTGCTCTCAAAGAGCTAACAATAAAATCCATTTTGAACTTCTTGTTATATGGTGTAATATGTTGGTCTAAACCAAATTTCTACCAGACTGATTTCCAGTTCTCTCAGCAATTCTTGTTAAATAAGGAGTTCTTTGGGGGTCAATGGAACATTGAATTATCGAGTTAGTTTTTGAGGCAATAAGCATTTTATGAAGTGCCTACTATATATTAGGAACTGTATTAAACACTTTACAAATCTTATCCCATTTGATCCTCACAAAGCTTTTTGAGGTAGGTGTTGTCCTCATTTTACAGTTGAGGAAATCAAGGCAGAGGTCAAGTGACTTGTCCATGGTCACACAGCTAGTGACTCATCTTCCCAACTTCATGCTCTATCCATTAGGCCACCTAGCTGCTTCTGTGGTTACCCCTTCTATCTTCTCCCATGGGACTGCAACCCTGGGCTTTGATTGGTAAATCCACACCTTCTTTTGTCTGGCCTTAGACTCAGGACACCACTTCCCACCATCTTTGCCACCAAGAATGTATTCTCTCCCTTCACACTCCATTTTTAAATTCTAGCTCTCTCTCTCGTCTCCCCCTATCCTCTTGGTCAGTCAGCAAGTATTTATTAAGCTCTATGCACCAGGCGTGGTACCAAGCTACTTTAGGGTTTTTTTTTTTCATTTTTGTCTTTGTATTTACCACTGCTTCCTCTAAGTGCTTAATATGATGCATGAAAGCTTAGCTCATAATGAATTAGATGTGATTATTCATTCACTCAGTGCCTACTATCTATGCGACACGATGCTGACTTTAAAGACCTACGGTTTCATTGCTATGGTGTTCAAGTTCTTTCAACAAGAGGCCTTTTCTGTTTCTCCTAGTTGTTAGCAGTGTTACCCCCCTCACGTAATTTTGTATTTACTTATCTATGGACATCTGTATTATACGCCTCTATAGTTACATGTCAGCTTCTTGAGGGCAGGGTTGTATCCTTTTTCTAATGGTAGCCTCATAATTTTTTTTTCTTTTTGGTGAGGCAATCGGGGTTAAGTGACTTGCCCAAGGTCACACAGCTAGTAAATGTCAAGTGTATGAGGCTGGATTTGAACTCAGGTCCTCCTGACTCCAAGGCCAGAGCTCTATCCACTGCACCACCTAGCTGTAGCCTCATTATTTAGCATGGTGCCTAGCACACAGGGTAAGGGACAGAGATTGGCCCTGTCATTCCAGTGACATGTGGAACTCCCAGGTGAACAAATGCCCTCTACCAATGCAGGTCAGCACCTACTCTGCAAATTGTAGTCACAGAGTTGCCTGGAGAGGCCAAGGAACTTGCTCAGGGTCACACAGCCAACACATGTCAAGAGACAGGCATTGCATGTAGGTCTTCCTGACTCTGAGGCCAGCTCCCATGAATCCTTGTTCCTGAAATATCATCCCTGTTCATCCGTGCCTCACAGAATCTCATCTTCCTTCAAAACTCAAGTGTTGCCTCTTCCATGAAACTTCCTAAGCTGCGGAGGGCAAGCATTCCAGTTGTGGGGCACAGCCATGCCAAGGCATAGAGATGGAAGGGGGAACGTTGTGTGGGAGCAACCCCAAGGAGTTCAGGAAGCTAGATTGTAGAATGCATGAAGGAGACTAAAATGTACTAAGATACAGGTCTTATACTTTTAGGAAAATCACTTTGGCAGCTGTGTGAAGGATGGATCAGAAAGGACAGAGATTTGAGGAAGGAAGACTAGTTAGAGAATAATAAGGCTGTCGAAATAGTCGTGGCAAAAAAAAAAAATAGTCAAGGCAAGAGCTGATTAGGACTTGAACAAAGGTGGTAGCTCTGAGTGGAGAGAAGAGGCATATCTGAGACATGCGAAGTGACCTCACAGACTAATGTAAATGTGTCAATACAATAAATATGGATTATTACACACTTTTTTGGGGGGGTGGGCAGAAGTGGAGTGGGAAGAGGACCCAAGAAAATCAACCCAAGCCTTTTGTGCCTAAGGCTGTCCCTTTCGGGGCTATTAGTGGGGGGGACAGTGATCCACTTCTCTGTGCCCTAAATAGTGGAGGCAGCAGGAATCAACTGGCAAGGGACCCATTTGAGCCCTTAACAGCCCTTTGGGAGAGCATGAGGGAGGTAGGGGAAGGACAGGCTAGTCAGCTGTATAGGAATAAACCCATGATCATTAAGATCTGGGCTGGGATCTTAGGTACCATCTAACCAACTTACTGTATAGATGCCAAAACAGAGAAGGGAAGTACAACTAGTAACATCCCAAAATACCAATGTCTTTCCCCAAAACCATGCTGTTGTATGATAAAATGTTCAGTGGCTTTGTGATTACCATTGTCTGTTGCCTGGTTCTTATGTTGCCACTTAACTTCTCATACATTCCTGGCTTGTTAGAGATGAGTTCCTCTAGCCCAATGCTCATTTTATAGGGGAAGAAATGGCCACTGGTTGGGGGAGGAGTGGAAGTGACTTATCTAAGATGACAGAGTTAGTGATGGAGCTGTGACTTGAAGCCTTGCATCTGTTCTAGACCACAGCAAACTCCCCTCAGGCTGAGAAAGCTTCCTCAATAGCAGGGATGTTTTATCTTGAGGACAGGATTCTGACTCCACACTTCAATCCTTCATGAATCTATACTTCAAGACGGTGGGGAAAGGTATTAGTTCTGTGTCATATCAGTTGGAGTCAAGCCGAAAATGAGCACGTCAGAAGGATCCTTCGAGACTGTCTAGTGTAATTCTTCTAATTTGACAGAAGACAAAAAAGACACCCAGTGGAGACAGCTAGTTACTGTCATGCAGTAAATGATACAGCTAGCCAGATCTCTTAGCTGCAAGCCCAGGGCTCTTGCCCACAGCACTGGAACCCCATCAGCTTCTAGAATGGGATAAGTTGAATGTACTTTGATTCCTTCCAGAAGTGAGGTTCCAATCCTGGAGCTGTAAACAGAGTGGGGGTAAATGGAGCTTTGCCACAGGGCACGAAGAGTTCAAGAGTGCAAAAAATGTTATAAATATTCCTCCAGCAACATCAAAGTTGCTACAGTGACTAATTCCCTTTCCCACTCAACTGAATGCCTTACTAATTCCTTGTACTATTTTCCTATCATGAAGGGGGATTCATGGACTAAGGATAGTCTAGGACTAAGGACTAGATAGCACTAAGTCTTACAGATTGCCCCAAGTGACAAAATTGCTAGTTATAACTCTGCACAGAACCTCTCCCCACAATCAACACAAAAGGTCAATACAACGTTAAGAGCCTCTGCTTAATTTATACCGTGAAACAAAGCTAATCAAGTATAGAATTGTGGCCACCCAGGCTGGAAGCAAGAAGACCTTGGTTCAAATTCCAGCTTTTTCACTTATTCACCCATTGTGTGGTATTGGGTTAGGCCATAACTTACTCTGAGCCTGTTTCCATCTCTACATAATGGAACTGGATTATAATCCCATTGGGCTCTGGGACATGATTAATGCAAGTCTTTCTCCCCCCCCCCCCCCCCCCCCCCATAGGATGGCTCTGTATCTCGTGGGCTGCCCTCTTTTCTATCCTGCAGGCCCCTTTTCCTATCAGATACAGACTCTTCTTCCCGGGCCTGGAGCAAAATCTGCACTGGCTGCCCTGAACCATCCCCACCAGATGGAGAGTCGTCACAAAGACTGATTATTCTGGTGCAAAGGCAAAGTGGCTACTTCCCTGGATTAAAAACACTGAGCCCCACCTCCACGGGCTGAGTCCAGGTGTATAAGGGTACAGAAGTAGCTTCTCCCCTCTCTAAGGAGAGTGGCTGACATGGGCACTGTAAACTACAGCTGCTCCTGGGTCCAGGGGTCCTCACTACTAAGGGCAGCTGTATCCTGTCCTAATTCCATCCACTTAACTGTCTGTTGTGGGACCATGCAAAGATCAGGGACCAGAAAATCTAAGTCCCCAGCTTTACCAGTGACCATGTGGACACCCATGCCTGTTCATTCACCTAACTTTCCCTCTTGGTCAATAGGGATATCAGCACCAACCAGCTCCATGCCAATCTCTTTATACCAGGGGAAGGGGCAATTAACAGTCTTATAGTGCTTGACTATGAAGTACCTTATCTGATATTCACAATATCTCTGGGAGGGAAGAAATAGGAATATTAAAAAAATATGAGAATTGGAAGAGAACTTAGTGGTCATCTGGTCCCAATGGGAATACCTATTCAAATATACCTGACAAGTAGTCATTCAGCCTCTGCCTGAATACCTTCAATAAGGAGGAACTCACTATCATCTGAAATATTAGCATCATCTTTTTAGATGGATAAAATAGGTAAATAAAATTCAAGATGGCAAGGCATGGAATGAATAGAATGGATGGAATAGAAGGAATGAAGAGGATCTATGTATGAACCCAGATTATGCTTATTACTCTGTGATCTTGGGGGAAACCCTCTGAATCTCTCCAAGCTTTGGTTTCCTCATCTGGAAAATTAGGAAGTTGGAGAAGATTATTTCTAAAGTCATTTCCAGCTCAAAAATCTTGATTTTATGATCCTAAGTGACTTGCTTATCATCACACAAGTAGAGGTCAGAGACGAGACAAATCATGTCCGACACCAAATTCAGTGTGTTATTCCCAATTTATGAGAAGGTACTCAATTAACTTGGAGGCCAGAGAGATTTCAGGGGGTCCATGAATTTAGATGGAAAAAGATGACATCTTTATTTTCACTAACTTCTAACTGAAATTTAGCATTTCCTTCTATTATGATTTTTTTTTTTTGAGAAGGGGTTCATATGCTTCACTGGACTACTAAAGGGGTCCATGACACAAAAAAAGCCAAGAATTCCTGCATCATCCCATGCTGCCTTTCCCTGAAATAGGATGAAGCATGGTTAATGTTTTTAGAAAGAATATCCCAGAGTCTTTCCTTAGATCTGGATCTGAGTGGGGTCTTTGGTTCCAAAAGGTTTCTTGGTAATGTTCACAGAAATGAGGCTAATTGCCCCTAAAGCCACAGAGCAAGTACATGGCAGACCTGAAGCTTGGTACTGTCCTTTCTTTAATGTCTTCTCTGGGCAAACCAGTCAGCTTACTCATTGGAGTCATTTTCTTCTAGCTACAAGTTGTCAACCTCAATCCAAACGCATTGCAAGGGCCTCAATGAAAGAAGACTATGAAGAACTTTTCAACAGGTCTTTATTTTTCCATTATATTTGTTACACAGTGTTTGAAACCTAAAGAAATACATTTTTTTCTCTTCAAATTGATGTGTATATAAATATCATTTGTTAATTAAGTCTGTACTCATCGAGCTCAACTCCACGGTCTGTCTTTGCCCTGTGTCCAGTCTAGAATTACCCAGCTGTGGCTAATGAATGCCAAAGGGCCTCTAAGAATTTCTTATCTGAGTTTGTGGGTGGAAGGTGAGATAGCCAGATGTGCTGAAAAACCACAGAGAAAAATAAACACTTGAGTAAAAAGGGAAAACCAGCCAACATTTCTGGGCTGGCTTCTGGAGGGGAGGGAGGGAACCTGCCTAGGGCATAAGCTTGTTTCACTCACTCTTCTCTTCCCTAGTGGTTTGTAGGAGAAAGATGCCATAGACTGTGGTCAGTAAACATCCAGTAACAATGAACCCCAGCCCCCATTCCTTGGCCAAAACTGGTTTCAGAGTCTGTGATTCTTCTCTTGGAAGGGAATAAGTTTGTGAAAGCTAAGCTCGGACATTGACAGTTGTGAGGCAGAGGGTCCCAGATTTGTGTGTATCTCTTTCTATACAAATCTCTCTTGACCCTTGAAATAATGACCCCAACTCCACCCTGGGATTGTTCAGAGAGAGGTTTTGCAGACCCCTAGGGATAGGGTGGATTGTTTGTCCTGCACTGGCAGAAAGGAAGGGTTAGGGGTCCCCAGATGTCTATCATAAGCCACCTGAAGTGACCCCTGAGGTAGGGTGGAGAGCAAAGGCAAGCTCAGTCCATTGCTCTCTACTGATCACCTTGCTGAAAGGCCTGCTGGTTCTCTACCTCTTGCTCTGGCTAGGGATGGGAATGTCAGATGCTTGATGAACAAGTCTGGGGCAAAACCTGCAGCTGGAGACTCAAGGTGGGATACAAGGTAATCTCCTCTGGGTTCCTGGGCAGTAGCCATGGGATTTTGTGCTGCTATTTTAAAGTCACTGAGAACCCAAAGCTAAGACACAGAAGAAGCTGGATCAGTGCAAAAGGACTGAGCTGAAAACATACTCCATTTTCGCTTCTAGAAGGTCCAGCCTGATTGACTTGCCTCAAGCCCGTGATCTTTCCAGAATGCAAATGCATTCATCGTATCAACCCTCCAATCCCTAACACTCAGAGGAGAGGGCTGCTGGGGAGGACAGCTGAAGGTATACACACACAGACACAGACACATAGACACAGACACACACACACGTGCGCGCATGCTATAGCCACATGTCTCCATGTGCCTCTCTCCCATTTCCAGGCCCCAACCTATTTGAAGCCCCCGCCCAGTAGCATGGGTACCATCAATGGAGAAGGCTGAGAGGCACTGGCAGGTAAGGACAGAGTGGACATGCTGGTGACTTTGGCACAATACAGAAGCTGATGGCTCCAAAGGTAGGAGCCAAGGTTCCCTCACAGCCCCACAGTTGGCCACTGTCTTTTTTTTCAGATACCTCAGGGAAGGAAGGGAGAAGGTAGAGGTGATTTAGGGAGTCCAAGCAGGTACAGGGGTCGGAGGCACCTGTAGCACAGGATCTGTAGGCTTCTCTCAGGTTGGGTTTTCTTTCAAAACCTCGGCATCTGTCATACCAACTGGATTCTCTAGTTCATGATACAAAAGCACATGGGGACTTGCTCATGCCTACAGTGCTGACCCAGAAAGGAAGAACGTGTTAAAGAACACGTCTCATGAACACTGAATTCTTCCATAAACAGAATCTCCCCATAACGCTCCCCAAGTTGAGAAGATAGTCTGGTACAGAAACAACTTCTAGGTTGGGCAAAGACTTTTCTGAAGCAGAATAAATCAGAATTCAAAGGGCTGCTTGGGGATAGGGAGAGGGATTCTTAGATCCCTGGGAATTGAGAGAGGCCTTGGCACATGTCCCTGCTCATAAAGGACAAAAATCAGTGCAGGTCCCGAAAGAAGGTGGGACAGAGATGCCGAGAAGGTCCATAAAACACTACTTGCACCTAAAGAAAGGTGTGAATCGATTTGGGAAGGAGGGCCATGGACCTCAGGGGTCCAGACACGATGATCATGGGGTTGGAACTGGACCATTTGGTCTGGATGGACCAGAGAGATGAGGCAGCTGATGATTCAGGGGCTCATTCAGTTAAGAAAGATCATCCTACCCCCTCAGGTCCGTGTGTATATTTTCTAGGAGTACTAACAAAAAAACTTAGACCCAAGTCTTTGATTATGGGTCATCTACCTGCCAAACTCAAATTCAAAAGTCCTGAAAAATGCTACAGGCTGACTTCGAAGGAGGCTGCTTTGATTTCCTTCAATAACAGGTCTGCAGATCTACATCCCTCCTCAGACTACTTCCTCACCTTCCACGTCATCACCCTTCCAGTCCCCCAAGCTCAGACTCATTCAGAGACTGGGGCCTAGAGACCAGGGCATTAGCAGCCAAAACTGTCAACAAACTAGTGATAGGAGCTAGCAGGCAAGACTACTTTGGGATGTACAGGAACCTTGTCAGAAATAAAAAAGGGCTGAGAACTATCCAGAGAAGAAGGCGTCCGCCAAGTGAGGCATGAGACAAACCAGAGCTTACAAGCAAGGAATGAAGATGGAGTCCCTATCTTCATAAAAGCACGAGAACTGTTGACCACCAAAGAACAGCCTGATAAAGCCAATCTGTGGTCGGTGTTTCCCTAGCTCTCAAGTGCTTAAAGTGGACTTGGAGCAATGGACTGAAGACCATGCAAATCCCCTGCTGTATGGACCACTGGGCTCATAGTCAGACGTGTTTTGGGGTCCTAAGATAAAGGATATTTTAATCACAAGGAGTTTTAGAGGCGGAGATGCTGCTCAACATGGGATTCTTCTGAAATACTGTCACTCTTCAGATCAAAAACACCAATAAAAAAAGTTTTTCTCTTAATTTGAGGATAATCTTGTGAATGACACAGGGCTTGTGGGAACAGAGAGTTCCAGTTCTCTTACCTTCTGGGGAACTGAGAAGTCACCCCCCGGCTTCCAGGGCTGGATTCCATAACAGCTCATAGTTCATTGGTTTATAAAAGAGTAGGGAAATCTTTGATGTGTGCCTCTTACCTACAGCTGCCAGCTGTAACAGCTTCGAGGACATGCCAGAGTCTGATCTATCTTGGGGGAGGGAGAGGGAAGAAGATGACAAATAAGACACCCTTTGCCAATGGAACAATCACTCCCTTTAAGATGTGAGAGGGAGGACACGTGGATTCTCCTTGGCTTTCCTGGGTCAAGAGAGCAGAAGAGAGCAGGTGCCTTGTTGCCTAAAAGGCCCTGGGGGTACAGAGGGCAACGCACACAACTCTGCTCGTGGTCTTGTGTTCAAAAATCAACAGAAATGGTCAATTTGTACAAATGCATCCTTTTTTCTTTTTCAAAGTGGGAGAAGGTGTAGATTGAGAGAGTATTTATTCTGACCAACTAAATAGAAGGCAGACTTGCTCGGCTTGTTAAAATCCGAGCGTCAGGTTTATCAGCCATCTGCCCTTGTTGTGACATAGCCGTGCAGAGGCCAGAGCCTAAGCCCTTCTGGTTCCCTGACTTCACTACTTCAAACAGTCACCTGGTCACCAGCAAGCATCTCCTATTTGCAGCTATAGGCAAAGAAACAGAGATTTTGCTTTGGGAAGTGAAGAGGCAGCTGTTCTTTGTTGTAAATTCTAGATGGGGGGGGGGGGGTTACTTGGGTCATCAGATGCTCACGGTAGCCGGGGTTGGTCAGGACCGCCTGCTCTTTGACTTCAGAGTGACTAAGAGTACAGCAGGACTAAGATGGAACACATTCTTCCCCTGCTCCCTCCCCTTCCAAGATCTTCTGTTTACTGCCCCCTAAGCCATCTTCATGTGCTTGGTTAGGTGAAAATCCTGGGTCAACTCATGCCTGATCTGGCTTTGGGCCACCAGAGCTCAGGCAAGAAGGGAAAAGGATTGGAACCTATTAAGTGGGAGAGGGAGATATTGTCACCAGGCTCTGTCTGCCTCACAGCATCCTATTTATAGAAATTAAGACAGCTCATAGATCTGTTTCCTCCCCAAACCAATTAAGACTCACCTACCTAATATATAGAATATTAAAAATACAGAGCTTTGACAACATTCTCTCCTTTGTGAGTAAAATCAACATGATCCAGCTGTGGAGGAGGAGCAAGAAAGGCTAAAGACACAAGTCTCTGGCAATCCCGATACGTGTCGCCATCCCTGCATTCCCTCTGTGGGAAACCAGGCTGAGGCCTGTTTCTTTCCCCCAATAAAGGAAAGAGACCCTTACCCGCCATGGACTCAGGAGAAAATGTTGCCACCTCAGGGCAGGGCTCTCCGCTGAGGGGGAATTTCAAGTAAACAATGAAGTTAGGGGTTGCACCATTTTGACAGCTGGGTGGAGGGAGTTTTGGAAAAGCAGGATCAGTAGCTACATCTGGGTCATTTCACCTGAGGGCCTTTAACCATCCCCTTTCCTGAGGCCAACCTTGTAACCATAAGGTGGACCCATCTCCCAAACCAAGGAAGGTGGGACTGGTTCCCCTAAGCCCCAGCCCTGGGGAGGCAGAAAGGCAGAAGGGAAGGCAATCAGAATGGTAACATCATGGCCATAGTGTACCAGCCACTGGTTAGAGCCAGGTACCCTACTCTTAGAGACTCAAAGATGTCCCCAAAATGCCAGGAGGAATTATAATACGAGTAAAATGTGCAAAAGGAAAAAGAAAAAGCTTCAATGACTCAATCCAAGCATCCAGGATTAATATTCCATCAGAGCATGAACACATTTTTTTTTTGATTCTCTCCCTCCCCGCCCCCCACTGGAATATTCCATCTGCTCAAGTACCCAAAGTAAGACTGACACAGCCTGGGGCAGGGGCCAGGGAGGGACGAAAGGAAGGACGAAGAGAAAAATCACCACAAAAGAAAAAAAAAAAAGGTGCAAATTGGTTACCTCAGTCCTCCTTTTTCCACCCTGGGCTCCTGGGTTAGACAGGTATGCAGCAAAAAATATAATGGGTAAGGAGGAAAAACAAGCCCCCTTCTCTCCATGAAAGCAAAGCCTTGGCCTTGGCCTGTCCTCAGAGGGGCCTCCTGGGAAGAGAGGGAAGGAGTGGGCAGCAAGGGCAGTCTCCAGGGCCAGGCAGAAAGCCTGGCTGTCCCTCCCTGCTGCCGCCACCACTGGCAAGAACCATATGGGCCAGTCTGTGGTGCTCTCCTCTCTTCTCCCTCCCCTCCCCTAGGCAGGCATTATAGCTGGAAGCCCTCCATGGGGGCCTCAGGCTGCTGAAAGATGAACTGCTGCTGTGTCTCATCCACCCGAGGAGTCAGGCCTGTGTCTTCATCTTCCACGCCAAAGTAGTGCTCAATGAGGTCAAAGGCCTTCTGGTAGATCTCTTGGTTTTCATGGCTCTGGAGAAACTCGATTTTGTCCAAGCCTGGGGGGACAGAGGGAAAAGAAGTATAATGAATGTTCTCCACCTGAACAGAAACGACAGACACCCAGGCTCAAAGGGACCTCAGAGGCCCAGACTCTACATGCCCAGAAGAGGTTCCATGCCACCCCCCACCCTCGCAATTCCTTATCCGAGCGGTCACACCATCTCCAGGAGAAGTCCGCTTGATTTCTGGACTGTTGTAAAAGTCAGGAAGTTCTCCCTGACTACAGCCAAGTCTATCTCTGGGAGTTCTACCCAGCACCCCAATGTCTACCTCTGGGGGAGAAGCAGAACTAGTCTAGAACCTCACCCACATGATGAAACTTAGATGTACATCACGTGTCCCTTACGTTCCTTCTCCTCCAGATTAAGCTCCCCTGGAGCTTCTAACAGATCGTCATAAGACAGTCTCCTGCCTGCTCATCAATGACTTCTAACATATGACCCAGAAACAGACAATTCTCCAGAAGAGGAATGACCAGGGCAAAGGGCAGGTGGCAGATCAGGGGCCTCCCTCAAGCTGGACCCCCTGGGTTGAGAAGGGAAGATGGGAATTTGGGCACATGCTGCCTCCAGCCCACAAGGGCCTACTATCCTTTTATCCTTTAGGGATAATAACTGTCCTATGTAAATTCTTCCTAGATTAACAAAGTGGTTGGGCCCCCCCAGGCATAAAATCTTTATTTTCTCACACTCCCTCAAAGTACAACTACACTGATACATTATCTAGGCATTAAAAAAAATTGATGCTATATGTTTTCCTTTATATATTAATTACTTTAGAAGGCAGAAGCCATATCTCTGAGATCGGCAACTACTACTAGAACTTCAAAAATGGTTCCCTCCTGGGCCTTTCATGAGCTCTGGCCAACCTGAAAAAGGCCACACTCAGAATTCCCTAAGGCCCAAATATTTGCTATATGGATGAGTCCTAACAAAGAAAATTCCCTGAGAGGCTGGAAAAGTCACCCTAGCCTTATCCACAAAAGGCATATCAGGACAGAAGCAATGGGATACAGTAAAGAAAATGCTCAACTAGGAGTTCAGCCCAGATTCTAGTCATGGCTCTGAAACTTATTAGCCAGGTGACCTTAGGCAAGTCACTTTACTATCTGAGCCTCATTACTGCTGTTACAGATAAAAACTACCCACCTCACAAGGCTGGTGTGAGGAAAATGTTTTGTAAATATGAAAGAACCACAGGAAGTAAGCTATCACTATCACGACTTACTAGCTAGGCAACACTGCCTCTATTTGAGCCTGTTTCTTCTTCTGTAAAAAACAAAAACATACTTACCAGGGTTATGAGGAAAGAAATGAAAATGCTAAATACAAAGCCCCTTAAGAGTGTCAAAGGAGAGGGAAGGGATCTGACCTCAAAGGGCCAGAGATGCTACCTACCATAAGCTTCTTCAACAAGGCCACAGTAGGGGTTGGCCCCTGTGCCAGCCCGCTTAGCCTCTTGCTCACCCAACCGCAGGATGTTTTCCAGGCCATTGAGGGCAACCTGTACGATCTTGGAGTCCATCACAGTCAGCAAGTCACACAGAGGTTTGATGCAACCCAATGTAACCAGATACCTGGGAGCCAACGGTAAGGCAAACGCCACAGGTTAACAAGCACCAGTAGACCAAGAGTTTTTGGCTTACGGGCCTCTTGAGCCCCCTAAAATTCCTCCTGTGGAGGGTTAGATTCCTGATCCATCAAGGGAAAGCAACGCCAACTCTCAATTATCTGCAAGGTAACTCAGTCACTGTTTTAGGTACTGATGATCTGTGCCCCACTGAGTCCCACCCTGATTCTCCCCAGCAGCTTTCTGGGCTGCTTCTTTCGACCACTTTACAAGGTGTGTTTTAAGAATACAAAAAAGCATTTGCTTCTGTCAAAGACAGGTATACTGCTTGGTTTCAGCTTGTTGGATATTATCTAAGCTAAATATAAAGTATATTATCCATCCATTATTGTGGAACTATTTTTAACTGTCCAAAAGATGAAAAATGTTTAAAAACATTTGTGGCAAGTATATGTCACTGGGAAAGCACAGCATCCAATCTTTTCTTAGGTTCCACCATTTCTAGTGGAAGACTCATTCCAGGATTCCCATGAAAATCCAGCTTGCCCTCTTTTCCTATCCTTGTTTAAGCTAGAATGGAGGAAGGGTTTCTCAGGCAATGGCAGTTTGGAGTTGTGTGTTCATGTGACGGCAAATGGCTGTACTGAGGAATGCCACCTAGTGCCTGAGGACAGGAAGAAGGGGTGGGTGGTAAGCATCATGGGGAAGGGACTGCCAAATACCTGATCTGCTCAGGAGTTCCCCCTGATGTGGCATTGGTGATGGCCCAGGCAGCCTCTTTCCTTGTGCGGAACTCAGCTTTCTGCAAGATCTCGATCAATACAGGAAAAATATTTGCATCTATGACAGCCTGGAGCAGGGGGAAGAAAGTAGAGCGTGTGGAGGAAGGGCGACAGTTCTACCAAAGGACTTCCTTGGTCATGAGAATGGACCACAGAGCACACCCTGCCAATCAGAAGACCTGCATCTCTGGGGATTTTCAACTACAGAGCCTAGAACTATGGACTCTCACACAGATAGGGAGGAGGAACAGTAAAGAACCTGGCTTAATTCTTGTGGACCTATTGTCCACTAGGTTCAACCCTGACCTCACTTGTAAGAGCAAAAATTAAACCCTGCCCTTGGAAGTAAACACTTGAAGGCTCTTCTTTTTGGACCAAAGACTTATGAGAGGCCTGAAGCAATCTAGTCTGGATACTCGAACAAGAATTCTTTTTCCTTCTCTACCTGTATCTGGGCCCTGTTTCCAGCTGTGATGTTTGAAATTGTCCAGCAAGCTTCTTTCCGTATTGACTCCTTGGGGCTACTCAGTAAGTGGAGGAGGCAAGGTAGGGCTGCGCAGTTAAGAATCACCTGAAGAAGAAGAATACAGTTAGTGCTAACTTGCATCTGTCACTCTAACAGTCACAGTGCCCCAGGACACAAAGAAATCCCTGGCTCAGGACTGTTCTTATCCATCAGGCCCTACCTTTGTAAAGTCTACTTCCCAGGGGATGGCCTGAGGAAGACGGGGCGTAGGTTTTTACTCCTTACCTGGGTCTGGATGTCATCACCAGTGACAATGTTGCCCACTGCTCGAAGGGCGGGGGAGGCCACTTTGTAATCATTGTGCCTGCAAGAAAGGGCAAGCCCAAAAGAGACTGGGTTAGTCTAGGATAAATACCTGAAGCACAGCTTTGTTGATTTTAAGAGCAGTAGGGGAGGAAAAAAAAAAGACCTTACAAATCACCTAACCACCTTATTTTAGAGATGGGAAACTGAGACCTACAAAGGTTAAATGACTTGATCAACACTGCAGAGGTAAACAGTTGGGATTGGAACCCTGGAACTCCACATCTAAGGAGCTTTCCACTACATCAAGTTAACTTCATAGGTCAGCTAGTTCACCCTGAAGCTGACCCCATTTACAACATTCCCGTACTAGCTCCAGTACCAGGGACCTCACTAGCCTGTCTGGACGGGGCTAACCTCAAACTGAAATGAAATCTGTCTTGTCTGCAATCTTAGCCGTCACTCGACCCATCTAATAATAGGGACTAGGCAGTACTTACACAGTTCTTTAAAGCCGGCTAAGTGCTTTCAAGGGATTATCTCATTTTACTCTTTTTTTTTTTTTTTTTTTTTGCTTTCCTCAGAAACTTAAAGACAGTGATCAAATTCCCCCTAAGTCTTCTTCCACTTTTCCAGGCGGGCAAGCTTGATATCATGTGCAGTTCCACAATCTCACTTACTCCATGGATCTAATGAGTTGTCAAATCTTGCCATTTTTCCTTCCACCGATTTCCTCAGATCTATCCCCTTCTCACTACTTAGCTCAGGCCTTCATCATCTCTCTCCTGGGCTATTTCAAGGTCTCCTAAATGATCACCAAGCCTTGAGTCTCTCCCCTCTCCCATTCATCCTCTATGACACTTCCAAACTGATTTTCCTGAACTTCGGGTCTAACCACATCACTTACTCCAGTCCCAGTGGTTCTAGCTGCCTCTAGAATAAAATACAAATGCCCATTTGGCTTTAAAACCTACCCAACCCTGGCTGCAATTATACAGGGTGTACCAAAAGTTTTAGTGTAGCTATTGAAGCTTAAAACTGCACCGAGCCTTTGGGAACATCCTGCATCTTATCCCCCCCACCCCCAACCTAACAGATCTTCTGGCTATTTCTCACACTCTATCTCTAGGCCTTTTCTTTCCTTTTTTTTTTTTTAAATTAAGTTTTTATTGATATCATCTGTTTCTTATATCATCCTAGTTATCCCAAGTATTCTTCCCCATCTCATACCAAAGAGTATTTTTTAGAGAAAAAAAAATCAGCATAACTAATCCAAACATTGAAAAAGTCTTCAAACCCATGCAAAGTGTGACGTCCTAGGGCCTTGCACCTCCACAAAGGGCAGGTTGGGGGTATCCTCTCATAGCTCTATGCCTTCTTAGGCATTGGCCCTCGTGCCCCATTTCCTTGTAGAATCAGCTCAAGCACAGGCCCTGACATGAAGCCTGGCCTGATGCCTGCAGCAAGTGTCTTCCCTCCTTCACTTCCTAAAATGTGTGGCATTTATTCTGTTACAGTAAACTTGAGGGCAAGGACTGATTCATTTCTGTCTTGGCACCCCCCACACTTTGCACAGGACCTGGCACAGGGCTAGCCTACTAGCACATAGTAGAAACTTAAAAAGTCTCTTCTCAGGCTAAACACTCTGCTCTTCCAGCAATACCATCAACGATAACTACCAGCACCCCATGGAAAGCAGGACAAATGTTATTACTCCCATTTAACACATGGCAAAATTTAAGCTCAGACAGCTTCAGTAATTTGCCCAAGGTCAAAAAATTTGAAAGCATCAGTGCCAGGACTGGGACCAGGCCTGCTGACCCCAAGATCAGCATTCTTTCCACTAAAGAAACTGGTTGTGAGGATTTTCCAGAGCCATGCAGAGAAGAAGCTCCATCCATTCGTAAATAATCTGAAGCTTCAAGTAATTGGACAGAGGTGCCCCTGCAGCCACACCCCGACTCAGGGGAGCCTAACGAATGACTTCTCTTTGCTGAGAGTCAGGGTGGCCGCCCAGCACTCACATTAAGAGCTCCACCAGTCTCCGACAGACCCCAGAGTCTATGACGGCTTGGATCTTCTCATTGGGACCATCCGACAGATAGGAGAGGGCCCAACATGCATCTGCCAGCAAATCTGAGTCACTGCTGAACAACAGGCGGGACAGCACAGGCAAACAGGGAGACACCTGTGGAGGCACAGGGAGAGCAGCTCAGACTGGGCAGTGAAGCAAGGATGGCCCAAGGCCATGAGGCACTTCTGGCAAGCATCTGTTTTGCCTTCTGATGGAGCTCTAGCCCCCAAGCCATCTCTCAAACACAGACCGAAACTGATGGACCCTTCGTGGCTTATCAAATGCTTCCTGTGCAGCCTTGTAACTAACAGGATTCTTCTCTTCTCCCCGTTTTACAGATGAGAAGATGGAGGCTGGTTCAGAGAAGTGAGGTGACTTGCCCAGAGTTACACAGCTAATCGCTCACAGAGCCGGAATTTTCAACAACTCGTTCTGACTAATACTAGTATTCTTTCCACCACTATCTCACCATGCTAAGACTCTTTTCTGAGATTAGGACTTTCTGGGAACCTAATGAACAAGGTTGACTATATGATACGATAGCCAAGGAAAAGCGCCCTTTCTGGATGCATTCTCCACAGAAAACTGACAGCATTCTGGCTCTGCGTAGGGAGTCAGAGGGAGAGCAGATGCAAAACAGGCTCACCTTCTCAAACTCAGGGGGCGGATTCTTTCCTCGGCACAGGTTTGACAGGGCCCAGACAGCGTTCCGAGTCATCGTCACACGTGTGGATTTGGTGAGGAGTCTGAGGGAAACGCAGCATAGGAAGTCAAGCCCGGGTGCAAAGCCTGGAGGAGACTCGTTGGGGATTTTCTCCCACAAACTCAGCATGACTGAGACTCTAAGTGGGTCAGGAAGCTGAGCTGAGTGGCACTGCCACCTCATACCTGATAGTGGAGGCTACAGAAGCCTGATCTTCAGAGATCTTGAGGTAATGGCCCCACATTCTCACTTTAGGAGTTGGTTCAGATGTGGATAGTTTGCCTACTATGCATAAGCAATTGTATTCTGCTGACTTTGGAGAGTCTGATCATAGGACATATTTAGAGCTGAAGGGACCCCAAGAGATCATCTAGTCCAAACCTTTCACTTTACATATGATGAAAATGAGGGAGGTGATGTGGCCTGCCCAGGGTTACTCAGGTAGTAAACCTTACACATGGGATTTGAACCCAGGTCCTCTGACTCCAGAAATCATGTTCTTTCCACTAGATCACATCTTTGTCCAAATCATAGTTCCTTCATGCTTTAACAGAGGGTCTCAGGAATTGGTAAGGCCACAAAATGTTCCCTGGTGGCCAACCTTCTAATGATATGCCTCTATTCTTTGCTAGGCCAGTTTTTAGATGGGAAATATAATTAGTCCCTGGGCCTGTTTTCAAGGTCTTTTTAGCTGAGTGGAACAGTTCATTACGTGGAGCATTTTGGTCCTAGGGCACATGCACAAAGTGACGGTTTCTGAAACCACAAGAAAGAAAGGGCCCCCTGAGACTTGCCAGAGCTTCTTGCCTACCTAGGTTCAGAATCTTATCAGATAAAGAAAAAGCAACACTCATTGGAAAGTGGTGACTTGCATAATGAGCATAAACAGAATCCACCTGTTTAGTCCAAAAGCAGACTAACTCCATAATGACGATTTTCAAGAATTACAGACTGCCCAGGTTGGACCAGAGAAATCATTTGGTTCAATGCCCTCATTTTACATCAAGAAACTGAGACCCAAGAAAGCAAAGTGATCTGCTCTGCATCACCCAGGAAGCGAGCAAGGGAGCTGTGACTTGAGACGAGGTCCTTGTATTTACAATCGTTCTTTTCCCACTGCACCAAGTAGCCTCTTAGAATTCCCCATGTCCAGAAGCCTTTGCCTGCACAGTGTTCTCTTCCATTCTACCACCCATAGGCCACCCAGGTGCCCACTATTCAACAAGTCCAGGGATGCCCTGGGCTGAGGGGCCTATGGTTACTCACATCAACAACGGTGGGAGGATGGCACAGTTCAAGACATAATCTCTGCAGACAGAGCTGTCACCTGCTATGTTTCCCAGGGCCCAGACTGCCTGAAAGGAAAAATGGTATTCTTAACAGCACAGCTTGTCTGGCTACAGACAAGGTTTGGGTCATCTAGTCCAACCTGGATTCATTTTATGGCTGAGGACAAGGACTCATTAACTCAGAAGGATGAACAATTTGCTCTAGGACACACAGGCATTAGAGCTAGGATTCAAACCCAGTGATTTTCTCAGGGCACCACAGTGTCCATGTAAACCGGCATTTAAGCACAGCTCACAGGGTCATAGTAAGTTCCATATGGCTTGGCTCTCAGGCCCAGTCATTTCCCCAACCACTTTCTCTAAACCTCAGTAACTCGAAAAGATAGTCCGACCAGACCTTCCTGGAACGAGGGGGTGGTGGGCCTGGTAGCATCTTTAGAGCCCCTTGAACAAGACCCATACAATTAGGAACAACCAAACATCTGCCCAGAGCCTCAGTCAGAAACCAGGGGAGGGAGACTCAGCCCTCCCACTCAACCCCAACCAGCTCATTACCTGTTCTTGTACATCCTCAAAGTCAGAGTTCAGTAATTCTATGAAGATAGGGACAGCTCCGGCTTCAATGACAATTTTGGTCTGTTGTGAGGTTCCTGAGGCAATGTTGGTCAAGGCCCAGGCAGCTTCAAACTGAAAGAGGTATGGTGGGAAATGGATTATCGGTGTCTGTGTTGGGCACAGTCTGTGACTGCAACTGCAAAGTGTGGTATAGGGTGTGCCCGTTACACGTATCCCATGGCTCCGGAGGATTCCCCCACCCTTATGTGGAACAGAACCCAGAGGCTGGTAATCAAGAACTGACAGAAACCATCTGCTTCCTCCAAAGGAGCCCCAAGCCAGACATGCAGTAGGACCCTCCCTAGAGGTCAGGCTGGGGAATCACAGAATGTTAGCGCTGAAAGGGACCTTAGAGATCATTCAGCCCAACCTCCTCATTTTACAGGACTCGAACCCAGGTCTCCTGCCTCTCAGTCCGGTGCTCTTTCCATTACACCACGCTGCCTCCCACTCGAGGCTGCCTGGTTTCAGGTGGTCTTGAGGGCGAGGGGGCAGATCCCATTTCTTGCCAGCTGCCTGAGGGGTGTGGGGGAGAGCCCTGTCACACCCTCTCGCTCCCCCCGCCCGCCATCCAAAGCATAACACAGCACTTGAGGCAGGCAGCAACCCTGCTGGGTCTCTGTACCCAACACCTCCCCCATAGTCACCTGTAATGTGCAGTTCTCGCTCCTCTTCAGAAATTCCACAAACCTGTCCACTACTCCAGGGGTATTAATCACCTCGTCTATGGGAGGATTTGGCTCTGTGGGGAAAGGCCAAGAATTAAGAGAGGTCTAGGCTACGCCTGCTCCCTTGCTGGCACCTCCATTCCATCTGGTGATAACAGCAACGCTTCAGGTATCCTTTTCTCAAGCAACACACATAAGTGAGCCTGAAAGAAAATTTCAAGTCTCTTCACAGGCAAAATGTCTGGGCTACATAGAGTCAGTCACCACTAAGCAGCTTTATGTAAGCAGGTCACCAAAAAAGTTCTAATGTGTGTAAAATGAGGGGAAGGTGTCTAAACTGAATAAGGAATATCAAGGACTTACAAGGAGGGGTTGTACAATGCATGAACAAACCCCTCTTCCCCTCCCATCTGTGAGTGCCTTAGTTTCCTCATCTGTAACACGGGGAATATTACTTGGCTACCTCTACCTTCACAGAAAATGCCACAGAAATACTGACAGGTATCATTCAGAAAGCAACCGGCCTTGAAAGACGAGCATTCTATTCTTTGTGACTAGTCCACTCTCAAGGTTCAGAAAAACTTCTGGAACCAGCAGAACTTAATGGAATGTAAGAGCCCAGAGAGGAATCCTGGCAGAAGATGGAATTTCACAGCCAGCTAATGCTCAGAGCTGGGAAGGGGCTTCAGAAGACGTCTAGTCCGAATCAGGCCTGTGTGAGGATGCCCTCTAAAACCTTCCTGACTAGTGGGCATGTGGCCTTTGGCTAAAGGTGTGCAGGGAGGACCTCCTGAGGCAGGTGAGGGGAAACTCTAATGAGTACTGAGCTAAATCTACCAGCCGGAGCCATCTGACCAAAAATCAGTCTGACTCCTCTGCCCCTTCCAGTCTAGGGGGTTCACAGATGGCCACCTGGCTTCTCTTTTCCATGCTAATATCTCTAGTTCCTTAAAGAGAGAAATATACTGCCAAGCTGTGTCACTATTTCCTTCCTGAGTTGAAGAGCATCTTACCCTTTGAGAGCAGCTTGCGGAATTTCTGTGTGGTTGCTAACTGCAGGTCGGAGTCTTCAGAAAAGAGCATCTCCACCATCTCTCTTGTGATCACTCTGTCCTAAAGGGAAAGGATAAAGCTGGGACTTGATGAGTAACCAAAAAATCCAGCTTCCAAGTCCCAAGAGCCCCCTTGGGCTCATTCCCAGAGCATCTACTATGGAAAGGCTCTTAGGGGTAGTATGAAAATGCAAGTAAAAATACCATTACAGGATTTAATGTTAGAAGTGATATTTGAAATCATTTAGTCCAACTCTCTCATTATAAAGAATAGAAAATCAGGCCTTTGCCAATGTCAAACCAGCTCTAGGTAGCAGAACAAAGCCCAGTCCCTTCATGCCAAACCTAATACTCTGTCTACTATACTTACTTCCTTCATACTCACTGCATAGAGAAATCCACAGGATATAAAGATCACTCAACAAAGAAAATTCCTCTAAGTTCTATTTCATCTACTGCTGCCACATAGCTTAATGATGAAAAAATCTGGAATGCTCAAAACTCTATTCTTACTCCTGAGGATTCTGGGATGGAGAACAATTATCACTACTTTTCAAATTACTTCCTTGGTGCCTGGTCTATAAAGAATATTAGGATGACAACTGGCCTAATATGGTGCTTTTTTAAAGACAACAGAGACAACAAAAAAGAATCTCTCCCAGTGTAATTATGGGTATTAACAGGTACTGATATGACATGCCCAATCTCAGGTCTGTGAAATTAGGAAACCTCTAATATTGTACATTCAGGCCTTACCCCAGTGGTGGAACTGACATAGGAGTCCATGAGTAGTGTGTCAAACATGGCAGCATCTTCACTGATTAGTTCTACATTTCTTCGTTTAAAAAGCTGAAAGTAAAAGTTAAAAAAGGGTCAATGGTAAGTATATCTGTTTGTTAGCAGACTCATACATAATTTCCAAGGCCAGGTCAGACCAGACCAGCCCTTCCCCTTTTGACATTTGTCTATATCTAGTAAATGATAGTCAGACAGCCTGTCCAGAAGATGAACTGATTTGGATAGAATGGATGAGTGTAGAGACATATAACTTAATCAGCTCCGAACTCATACCAAGAGCCAAGGAGAACCTCATTTGGTAGAGAAAGCCGAAGACGATGAAACCAACTAAAAACAGAATTGCCAGCTCTGCCTACAGCATCAGAAAAGGTGGATCTGGGAGTTCCTAGCAGGCAGCAGGGATGATAAATAAGACTTTAAATGCCATTTTGTTTTCATCTTATGAATATCTGTATGGAAAAAATGGACAACAACAGGAAAGGGGGCCATAAACAGATGTTTTAGAGGGAAACAGGATATGTAAGACAGGGCCACAGCCTTTGAGTTTACAGACTATTTGAGGAGGCAAATACATGAAAATAATGTATGTGCTATGCTTTTGACACAAGTTCTAGATGAGTTCTGAGGGCAAAGAAATTACTTGAAGGCATTTTGGTTATAAGTAAAGTTTCATTAAGAGGTAGGACTAGTGCTGAACTTTAAAGGTCAGGTAACTAGACAACTAGCCAGGACTCAAGGCAGGTGACGTGGTGGTGTAAGTTGGGGGCTGGCATGAATAAAAAAGAAAGGAAGGTGGCTTGTTCAAAGGGGACAAGGAGTAGACTAATCTGGCAGGTTTATTTCTTCCTTCCGTCTACCAACAGGGTGCTTTGCAGGGAGATGGGAATAAGCATGATTAGAGATGGAGCCAACACCAAAGTTCTTGCCTTGCTTCGCAATATCCCATACCAGTCCTCTTTAATATGAGATTACAGCAAATCTTTTCCCACTGTTTTTCCCATTTTTGCAGCAGGGGTGATTGGTTCCATCCTTACCTGTTGCTCTCGTTTCTGCTTACGGAGCTGGATTCCCTCTTCCTCTCGCCGCCTTCTCATTTCTTCTGGGTTAAGTGCTTTGTTCTTATAGCTCTTCATCCGGTAATTGTCCTTCCCTGGGCTCGCCATGGTTTCTAGAGAAATAAAAGAATGGCAGTCACCCTCTATAAGACGAGATTCCCTCACCTGGTTTTCTCCATCCCCCAAAGTGGGCCTAAGTCTAGGATGCCTCCAGCCTGCTCCCAGATGCTCTCACTGGGTATGAGTCTTGCTTTTTGACATCTGAAGAGGAACAATAGTGGTAGTAATCTTATACAAAAACTCACACTTGGTGACTTTGCAAAATCAAGGAGACTGGCAAAATCTTTTTCCTAAATCCAGAAATAATGACAATAGCTGACATTTATAGAGTGCTTTAAGGCTGACACGATACTAGCTCCTCTTCCCTTAATCCTCACAATAACCCTGTGTGGTAGCACACTTAAGTATTTCAATCTGCACGTCTCACATATAATAAATAGCAGGCCCTCAGATCCCAGATTCAGTGTTTCCCCCATTAAATTATGATGTTTTTCTATGGAATGGCATTCTGTATAAAAAAAAAAAAGTTTTCCTTTATGTATCAGATGGCTAACAGAAACAATGTTTTGTTGATAATGGATTCTGTAGAATGAATGATTCTATGAAAGTACTTTCTCTGGTCCTTGGTCCATGTCATGGCCTCTCTATATAACTAAAATATAGAGTTCTTACTTTAAGCTAGAAAAGGTGAGCTGAGCTCTTTATAGTTTTTTTTTCAGTTGTGATATATCAGTAGTTATCCTTCAAATCATAGAATATCAGATCACATATCTGGAGCAAGAAGGTACCTCAGATATCTTTGGCCAATCTGGTCCTAAAAAAAGGTCTGCATTTCAATATACTCAACAGTACATGTCTAACTTCTGTTTGGAGACCTCCAATGAGGGTATTCCCACTCATTCCACTTTTATAATACTAATTTTCCATGTGACCAGCTTATATTTGCCTCTTTGCAAATGCTTTCTAATTTTGCCCTCTGGGACCAAGTGGTATAATTCTGGTTTCTCTTTGACTTTAAACTATTCCTTGTATCGTATGATCAAAGTGATTTGCCATCGCAGTTGATGTCTTTTGGAAGCCCTCTGGTTTATCAATGCCCTTCCTAAAAGGTGGCACTCACCTTTACTAAACACAATACTCTAGATGCATTCTGACCAGATATTTATCCTTCAATTATCACCTTTCTAGTCCTCTACAGCTCAACGGAATCAAGATCTCAATGATGGAACTCCCTCTAAAGATGTAGGTCACAATCCTTCCATAACATCTCAGTGTATACAATCCTTATTCACAACTTCCTGTGATTCTTTCACAGAAAGCCCACCAAATGTGACAAAAGCCTAGGTTACCAATGGAATACATCTATTGGTTATAGACTTTCTTTGCTGGTTATACATTTCACTGATAAACATTTTCTCTTGAGCAATTTTTGGTTGGTAATATGTTGTAGCCTGTTCCCACCCACCACATACCTTAGGCAGACCTTTGGGCAGCCTGTAATTTTTAATCCTAGACTGGTATAATCCTACACTTGTTATAATGCATCACTGGAAAAATACTCTTATCAGACAAGATAAGCCTTTGATTCAGGAACAAGTTTGGGGGCAGAGAAAAGGGTGCCACTGAAAGTGCTGCAATTTTAGGCTGGTTTCCATCCTCTTCAATTCTTGACTGAAATTACTGTCTGTTTGCAACATCTGTCCAAGATACATGTAATGATGAACTAACTCTTTAGTTGGTTGCTTATCCGACTGTATATCATACTCTGAATAAGAATTACTCATCCACTTGGTTTTCCCTGTATGAATAGTTTAGGCTGAACCCGGCTCCAGATCTTTTACAGACAAACTGTCCAGCAACATCTGTCTCACACAGTTCAGTTTCTGAACTCAAGCATAAGACTTCACATCTCTTCCTACTGTATTTCATCTTTAATATATTCAGCTCAAAGTTTGGGCCTGTCAAATCCTCTTTGGCTCCTGATTCTGTCATCTAATAGGTTAACTATCCTTCTCAGTTTTGTATCATTCTTATAATTAAATTCTCTATTTATATAGTTGTCCAATCTGCTGATTAAAATGTTAAATAGTATGTACAAGGCCAAGCATAGATCTACGAGGCATTCCATTGGAGATCTTCTACACTGTCATGAACAATATTAATGACAGTTCTTTAGGTTCAATTGTTCAATTAATTTTGAATTCTCCTAACTGTACTAATATCTAGCCCAGTACCCACAACACTAGCACAAGAGGATGCCAAATGTTTTCTTAAGAGCTAAGTAACTTTGTAAAAAAAAAAAATAATTAATGGGGGGGGGGGGCGGTAGGTGACACAGTGGATAGAGTACCAGCCCTGGAATCTGGCCTCAGACAACTTGACACTAGTCGTGTGACCCTGGGCAAGTCACTTAACCCCCACTGCCTCACCAAAAATAAATAAATAAAAACAAAAAAACGAATAAGGTAAATCTGACATGACCTGTACTTTGAAGGAATACTGGCTCTTTTGTGATGTTTCTTTTTGTAAATGTTCACTAACCATCCCTTTAAGAATATAGTTAAAGAGAATTTTGACAAGACTCAAAGTGGAAGTGATTGCCTTTATTATGCAAACTCCAGTCTCTCCCCGCTTTTGAAAATCAGCATTTGACCATCTCCAGTACTGCAGTAACTTTCCCATTCTCCATTATTGTTCCAAATCACTAAATGTGTGATTCAGTGACCATATCCACCAGTTCTTTCAGCACTAAACAGCTAGGTGGCACAATGGACAAAGTGGTGAAAATCTGAGTTCTAATTCTGTCTCAGATACTTACTAGCTATGTAACTCTGTGCAGCAAGTCACTCAACCTCTGTTTGCCTCAGTTTCCTCACCTATAAAACAGAGATAATAAAAGCACCTACATCCCAGAGTTGTGAGGATCAAATGAGATAAACCTGTAAAGCGCTTACTTAGCACAGTGCCTGGCACACAGTAGGTGCTCAATAAATGCTTGTTCCCTTCTCTTTCCCCCTCCCAAACTGTCTACTAGACATTTTAAAATTGAGGATCTATAAGCACATCAAACTCAACCTGTCCAAAACAGAACTTATTTCCCCCAAAACTCACCCTTCTTCCAGACTCCCCTATTTCCTAGGGAAACCACCATTTTCCCAGTTACAATGACAATTCCAGTCATAATTGACAGTGGGTGTCAAACCTGACTCCTTATTCTCATTTACCCCATAGGTCCAATCAAGTGCCAACCTTGCTGTTCCTTTCTCCACACCTCTCTCACATCCGTTCCCTCTTCTCTACTTAGACCTCCACATCCCTCAGCCCTCTCCTCTCAATGGCTACTCCCTCTGTTTCCCCCTCACTCCAATCTCTCCTCCACACAGCTGCCTAAAGCACATTCTCCCATTCCATAAACTTCAGTGGGTCTGTATTACCGTAGGATCAAATACAAACTCTTCTGTTGAACAGTTAAAGCCCTTCACAGCCTGCCCTCATTCTACCTTCCCAGAACTACACACTCCTTTCCTTTACATATTCCATAGTTCAGTCAAATTTACCTTACCATGTCTTTTATGAGTGAAGAAACTGAGGCCCATAGAGATGGCATGATGTGCCCAAAGTCATCTGTCAGGTATAAGCTGACCCAAATGACCTTTACTATCCCTTGGGAGCATGTGTGGTTCTGTGATTCCTTCAAGTCCCGGTTCATGTTTACGTCCTTCATGAGGCTCCCTTTGCTCACTCTGTTCCTCCTCATCTCTGCATCTTGAAATCTCCAGTTCCCTTCAAAGTTCGCCTCAAAATGCCACTTTCTATACGAAGCTTTACCTGATACTTGCAGCTGCTGGTGTCTCCAAGCATCTCTCCCTCCCCAGCAGCCTTGTTTACACTTCTCTCTCTTTCTCTCTATGTATTTGTTGTCTCCCAGAGAGTCAAATGCTGAGGACTGGGGATATTTCTCTTTTCTCTTTCTATCTTCTGAGTCTAACTGTGCCTACCACATAGAAGGTGCTTAACAAATTCCTACTGACTCACTGATTATAGCTGAGAGGAAGGAAGAAATAAGGAAGGAAGGAAGGAATAAGGAAGGAGGGCTTCCTCAAAATGTGGAAGAAGTATACTTCAGGCATAAACCATCAAAGAAACCACACAACTGGAGAATCAGAAAGGATGGAAAGGGTTATCGAGGTTCATCTGTACCTGATCAATATACCTTGGACAACTCACTTCAATTCCATGGGCTTCAGCTGAGGACCCTGAAGTCAACAAGCATTTATTAAGAGCTTACTACATGCTATACACTGTGCTAAATAAGCATAAAGTATCCCCAACATCTGAAACATAATAAAGTACACCAAATGAAAATAGTCTCTGCCCTCAAAGAGTTCATATTCTAATCAGGAAGATAGAATGCAAACAATTATGCATATAGGAGGTACAGACAGTGAACTGGAGGCAAAGGTCCATTCTGTTCCTAAACCCACAATTCCTCCACAACACTCCAGTGGTTATCCAATCTTTGTCTGAAGACCTCTACTGAAGTGGAAAGGAAACGAACAAGTATTTATTAAGCATCTACTCATATCTGAGGTACTGTGCTAAGCATTTTACAAATGTCACCTCACCTGGGCATCTCAAGTGGAACTCCCTGCTTTCTAAGGCAGCCCATCCTAATTTCAGATAAGATTTCGGGAAGGTTTTCCTTCGATTAAGCCTAAATCTAACTTGCTTTAAACACTCCGCTACCCCATCTACAAGAAGCCCCTTGAAACACTTCCTTCAGTTATCTCCAGGATAAACACAACCCCCCCACTTTCCATCTACAGTCCTCAACATCCAGTCCTCCCACTAAACCCCCAGGTCAGGCCCTCATCACCTCTCACCTGGACTACTGAACAGTGTCCTAACTGGTCTTCCCACATCTATTCCATGTTGCCTCCCATAGAAAGAACAAGAGCTTCTGTCTCCTGTGGCTATTCTCTGGGCTAAAGAGATGAAAGCGGAGGACCCCAAGGGTTTTAAATGCCCATGAGCATTTAGGCCCACCTCCAGA